AGAAATCCCTGTCTGCACAGCACCTCCCACAGGCAGCATACCTTTGTAGGCCTCCTCTGTGTACGCAGCATTGATGAACCTGTCCAGGATGTCATTGTCCTCAGCAAAAGCCAGCAGGATCCGCACAATCTCCTTGGTGTTGGGGTTGATGTTTAACAAGGCCTTCATCAGACAGGTCTTCCCCGTGTCAGAGGCCGTCAGCTTGTGCATGAGGAAGTCTGCGGGCAGGGTCACACAGGATGAGCCGCAGGAGGGCCCCCGGCTGCCCCTGGCCCTTCCAGCCCTGAGGAGGGGAGGCCAGGGTGAGGGGGCGGCAGCCTCAGACCTCCAGACCCTGCTCCGGCCTCCCCCACTGGCCTCCTGGAGCCTCTGCTACCTACTCTCCTCCTCCCTCTCCAACTGCTCTTCCCCTGAGGCCCCTGAGAGCCTCATCTGAGGCCTTTTGCTCTTTGCCCTCTGCACCTGCTACCTTGGAGGGGGCAGTCTCACCCACTGCAGGCCTTCCCGCTGTCCACCTCAGTGCTGATGCCCTGAAGCCCTCAGCCTGCCTCCTCCTAGTAGCGTACATCCCCTCCCTCTAACAAGCTACTCCCCAGGCCTGGAGACAGCGTGGGCCCCACCATCCAGCAGGTGGCCAATGGCGCTACCCTGGACTCCTCTCTTTCTCTCACTTCCCTTGTCCTCGATTCCAGCCAGTTCCACTGTCGAGGTCACCTTCCCGCAGCTCTTCTGCTGTGCTCCCAACACTGCCTGAATAGCGCCCTTCTCCAGTTTTACACCTGCCCTCCATGCAGTGGTCAGACCTGACCTTCGCCTGCCTAAGCCCTTGCATGGCTCCCCGTTGCCCTCGGAGTCAGCTTCAAAGTCCCCAGCCCAGCATTCTGGGCTCCTCACACGCCCCCCCCCCCCAGGGGTGGTTGTGGGGAAAGGTTGACAGCAGGAGCCACATGGGGCCCCCACCCCTGCGCTCTCTCTGCCGAAGCAGGCCACTGACCAGCCACGTCCAGGCCGCGTCGCCGCCTGCAAAGCTCCTGCAGCTCCCGCAGCAGCTCCAGCAGCTCCTCCACGCAGCCCTCCGACACGGCTGCAAAGATGCGCTTCTTCAGCCGCTTCTTTTTCCGCCTCTGCTCTTCCTTGGCCAGGTTTGCACTGAGGCCGGAAAGTATTGCCAGTTCACCGGGCGGGTACCACCAACCTACTCTCCCCTCCCCAGCCAGAGCCGCTGCGCCTGCGCAGAGCCGCTCCAGCCTAGCCCGCGCGCCCCCCCCCCCCCCCCCGCGCCGTCCGGACGCCCCAGGCGCTGTCCATCAGCGCTCCAGGCCCCTGGCACCCCGCACTCCTGTCGCCGCGTGCAGGCTTCCCTCCCAATCCAAATGCAATCACATTTTTTCAAAATACGTACTTGGATACACAGAGTAAAGATGACTAGGAAGGACAATTAATAGCGATTGCCTTAAAATGTATGAGATTAGGGGAAGGAAAATCCCACTTTAATCTTTTGGGATGTTTGAATTTTTAAACTCTATCTCTTCCTGCCCCCACACTCCAAAGAGACAAGCATGGTAATGCGAAATTTTTTGTTTGTATGTGTTCTTGCAAAATGCACATGATGTTTCATGGTTTATAAGCATGTATTTTTAATTTACTTACAGGGATTGTGTTACAGTTCTCCTTCTCCTGCATACTGTTCCTTGAAAGATTTATAATGAGTGGCTAATACTTATAGTTTATAAAATGTAATACTCCCCTCCCCAAAGAAGAAATTCCTACATGCCACAGCCAGGGGTCCAGACGTTTGTCCCAACCCCCAAGGAACGGAGGCTTCTTTCTCTTTCCTGGGGAGTGATGCCCGTGCCTGTCGCCCACCTGGTGGACGCAGTGAGGGGAAGGGAAGGGCCAGGCTGACCTGGGACTGTTCGGATTGGAGGGGGTCTCCGTCACATCGTCCTGAGGAGACTGTGGTGAGTCCATGTCATCACAGTTGCCAGAGAGGCTGGAAAGGAAGAGAGAGAAAAACAAGTTTAAAAGAGAGAGACAACCACGCCTGGCCATTTGGCCCTGGGTGAGTCGCCGCCCGCCCTGGAGCGGAGGCCTGGGCTGGCGCGGGGGCTGGTCAGGGGAGCCAGTACTCACCACTGCCGGATGTTGGAGTCCATAGGCTTGGAGAAGACGGGGGGAGAGGTCTTGGAGACAGTGGGGTTGGGATCGAACCCTTCTATCTCCAGGAAGAAGTGTGCACTGTGGGGACACCCAAGCAAGGCCATTAGAGCTGGGGCGGGGACCGTCCACCCACGTGCCCTGCACCCTGCTGCTGAGGGTGCCCAGCCACACAGCACACTCGCTCTCGGCCAGCTCCATGCTGGGCTCTGTCCCTCATGGCCTCGCTCAGCTCCCACAGCAGCCCTCTGGGATGGGTACTGCCCCATCGCTGCGTGCAGGTGGGCATGTGGAGGCTCTGAGGTCAAGCTACTCACCCGAGCTCACATGGCAAGTAGGTGGCAGAGCCTGGACTCAAAGCTGGGTTTGGGTGACTCTTGTCATTAAAAATACTGAGAGATGAACCCAGGGGTCTCTGCTGGGGTGGCCTAGCATCTGAGGGGGACTTTCCTGTCTGCAGCTGCCTCCAGGTGTGGAGGACTCACCAGAGATGGGGGACATGGCAACAACGAGAGCTACAATTCCCCATCATCCCCTGCAACTGTCCCTCTGGCCTCGGGTCTGAAGAAGAGCCCTTCCAGGAGGAAGTCCCTACATGCTGACATCTACAAGGGCCTTTACTGGCTGCCAGCACACATCCAACCCCCTCTGATCATCTCTTGTACTGTTGTGTCAGCACAGAAAATAGTCAGACCTAGAGCCGTGAGGAGATGTAAAAGTTCAGGAGACAGGGCTAAGAATCCTCATCAAGAAGGAAAACTCAGGAAACCACTTTGGACAGTGGGTGTGAGGAGCAGTAGAGGGGCACGTGAAGGGCACACTTTCTCCCAGGGCTGGAAGAGAGACATGGGCCCAGGGCCTGTGACCTGACTAAGCCCCAGGGGAGGGGACAGACTCACTGCCTGATCAGAGACGAGACACACACCCAAGATACGACTCCCCAGCCAGACACAGCCCTGGCCTCACCTTCAGAAGCACCCACAAACACAGACACGCATGCTCTCAGAACCCACGGTCACACACTCAGGGACAAGCCCTCCCATGACGGCCTGGATGATGAGCAGCAGGAGGAGGCTCTGTTGCAGTGATACCCCCACCCCGTGCTGCTGCAGCATACCTTCTCGCTCTGTGACCTGGCCGGGGATAGTGGCCTCCTGACCAGCTGGTCTCTCTTGTAAGTGCCTTTGCTGTCTGTCTCCTTCCCACGCCCAGAAGGATCGACACACCCCCTCCCTTTCTCACAAGACCACAGAAGAGCTCCCAAAGCACAGTCCCAGCCACATCAAGTTCAGAAGCCTAGCAGGGGAGGGATTGTGGCCCCATTCCATAATGAGGGAACCAAGGCCAGAATGGAGCAACACTCATCCATGGTCACCCCCCAAGGATAGAAGCCAAGTTGGCCAGAGAACTTGACTCTTGATTCCAGGCGCCCAGTTTACACCACTACCCACGCTGCTCTCCCCTCAACCCCCTAGGTCTTCTTCCAGCCAAACCAGCTCTGGGGATTAGCTGCAGGTGCAGACTGCCCAACATAGCCACTTCCCGGGATGGGCAGGCATGAGGGAATCCTGGGTCTTGCCTGTCCTCTCCCTCTCCTCTCCTCTAGGCACAGACAAGCCTGGAAGGCTCAGAACAAATCCAGAACTGGGGCATAAGTGGGGTGGGTAACAGGACATTGGCCCTCACCCTCCTATCTTCTGCCCATCAAGAGGAACCTTCTGACCTGACCTAAAATCAAATCCTTCTTCCAAAACAGAAGTACACCCCTGACTGGGAGCCTAAAACCTGGGTTCTAGTCTGGCTCTGCCTCTGCCTCCTGGGTGACCTGAGGATGGAGAGTGCTTGAGCCAGATGATCCTGGACTCTGGAGCCAGGACAGCTCTAAAATCATCCCCAAATGGACTGTGCAGCTGAAGTGGGCATCAGAGGTCATCCAGTCTGATCACCACTCCCAGCATTCTTGGAGTGCCCCAGAAATGCCACCCTAAAGTGTCCCTACTTGTCTAGGCTCCTTGGTAGTGTGCATCTACTCAACAAATACTTATTGAGCACCTACCATATGCCAGGCGCTGTTCTAGGAGATGGGGATTAAATGGTGCACAAATGGGCAAAAATCCATTTGAAGAGCTATTGTCCCAGTGAATTGGTCAGAATTGGCCCCAAGGATTGGACCAGGTCATAGCACAATGAGGCCATTGCTTTCCCTGCTCCAGACAACACACTGACCTTCAACTGTAAGATCCTCAATGGGAGGAACTACACCTGAATTGTCCTTAATTCTCCAGAACCTAGTGCTTCTTCTGACACTCAGAAGACTTAACAGAGGAGCAGAACATAGATAGGTAATGTGTGAAAGGAAGGAGAAACGGCTGGTCAGATAGATGGACAGATGAGTTGGATGAATGAATAAGATGGATAGATGGATGCATGGATGCATGGAAGGATGGATGCATGGATGCATGGATGGCTGAGCAATGAGTAGTTGGATGGGCAGATTGGTGGACAGATGTAGAGGCTGGTGGAATGAACCAATAAGCAGACAGACCAACACAAACCTCAGGTGACTCCCATTGGGCTCTCTGTTGCCCAAAGCTCTCATCTTTTTCTCAGTCTTGCCCAAGAAGTTGAGGAAGGGTCCTTTGCCTCTCCTCCAACTCCTCTCCTTCTCAGGGTTTCCTCCCAGAGGCCAAAGGAGCCTCAAGAATGGACTAGGAAACCAGATCATGACAGCATCTATCTATTCCAGGCCTGGGAGCCAAAGGACCCGAGGGAGTGGAGGAAATATATCCTCATCTCACCATGAAGTGTCCTTCTTTGTGTGGAGGGACTGTGCTGAGCCACCAGGACACTTACTCATCAACTCGCCGACTCTGTCTCTCATTGTCTCACCTGCTCCTGCACTGACCCACCTACTTACTCCACAACCACAAATATGCTCTGTGTAGGAAATGTCGGAAGCAGGGAAGGAAGAGATGACCCTTCCAGGGACCCTATTCTCAGAGATCTGTGGCTTAAGAAAATCCCCAGAAGCAGAGAGGGCAGCATGAGAAAAGCTTCTATGGCAGAAGGCAAGGACTATGTCAGAGGAAGAAAGTCTTCAGTGGCTGGGAAGGAGAGTGGTGAAAAGCCAGACTGGAAAGATCCCGGACTGTGAGCAAAGATTCCTGGGACAGGGAGCTGCAGACCATGACAGCCCATCCCACACATGCCTTATTTACCACTGCACATGCCACATCTTCCCTGCCACCATGACAGATAGTGATGTCTTGGCCATGTGACATCCTGGCTTCTAACCTACAGCATATGCTGTTTGTTTATTCCTACCTTTGATCCAGACCAAAGGGCACCTCACGGGTGTCGTTAACTCAGGGGAACACGTAGCTCTGCACCATCTCTCCTTCATTTCTGTCCCTCTGAAGACGATGAACTATCCCTGAGCAACCCCAGGGCTGGGAAGGAGGCTGTGTGACCAACTACTTTGTCCCAAGAAATGCCCAAGTGCTCTGATCTCCAAAAGGCCAGCCCCTCCACAGGTTTCATCAGCCCATGTCTCCACCCCTGGGCATCGCCTTGCCCAGGGTCCAGTAAAGAGGCCACAGTGGTAGCTGCTCATGAGAAATAGCATGATGGGGGCACCTGGGTGGCTCAGCCGGTAAGTGCCTGCCTTTGGCTCAGGTCATGATCCCAGGGTCCTGCGATCGAGCCCTGCATCAGGCTCCCGGCTCCGCGGGAAGCCTGCTTCTCCCTCCCCCACTCCCCTTGCTTGTGTTCCCTCTCTCGCTGTGTCTCTGTCTGTCAAATAAATAAAACATCTTTAAAAAAAAAAAAAAGAAGAAAGAAATAGCATGATGGTTCAGGAAAAGCTACAGGTCCAAAAATCTCTCCTCACCTAGACTTCTTGGTACCTTCAATCCCACCATTAGTACAGATTTTCTTACTGGTCAGATTGGCTTTCTTTATTTACATTGAATTTTTTCTTTTCTTTTCTTTTTCTATCTAGGCTGAGTCCTATACTCCGTTTTGAGGGAGATGCCCAAATCTTCAGGGAGAAGTAGGCACTTGAGGGCCCTCAAAGAGCCGTTGGGAAGAAGGTGCTACTGCTTCATGAAACAAAGGTCACACCTCACACCCAGGGTGTTGGCTGTGTGAGGCCATAGGCAGAGCTGAGTCTAAGGCTAAGTTCATGAAAGGGATAGGCTCAGAAAAGGCAGCCTGACTGTGGGAAGATCCTGGGATTTTCCTGAAGCCATGTCCACAATCCTTCCCTGAGGTCCAAACCTCCCCTAGGACTGTGAGAGGGCAGAGGAAGAGAAAGAGAGGCAAGAGTGTGGTGTTTGATGGCTCAGCTCAGGAATATCTGCCCTTTCTTAGATAATTAAGCCCCGCCCCCAAGGCCCAGGCTGCCCCCATGGCCCCACTGATACCTGTCTGAACTCCATGTCCGCCCAGTTTTCTCTCCTGCACTCCAGGATGGAGCCTCCATCGGGCACTTCTCAGACAACATCACACCTGAACTTGGCTTGTCTCTCCTCATCTTGCTCCTTCTCCTCTGATGTGCTCACGTCAGAGATGGCCCTATCATCCATTCAGGTCCTCCCACCAAACGAAGGGGATGTCTCTCGGTTCTCCTTCTCCCTCCCTTCTCATAGTTGATCCTACAGACCCCATCATCCTGATAAATTTCTGACCTGATCCCTTCTTCTCCATTCCTGATCACCCAGGTTCAGAACTCACCACCTGTCACTCAAGCTTCCCAGCCTCCCCTCCAATCCATCGTCCACATAGATCACCCAGAGCATGCTTTCCAAAATGCAAATCTCACCATGCCCTCCTTGTCACACAAAATCCCTCTGTGGCTCCCCACTGCCCTCAGGTTTGTCCCAACTCCTTAACCAACCCCCAAGATCCAGCCCCAATGGGACTCATATTCTCCAAGATTCCTCCCCCCACCCAGCCCTTCAGTTACACAGATCCTCCCTGGTCCCTGCCCCAAGCCTCTGTCTGGGGATGCCCTTTTCCTGCCTCCCCACCTGCCATCACCCATTCGAAACCACCTCATCCAGGAAGTGCCCTGAGACGGCCCGCAGAGCCTGCAGGGTCAGAATGACCCACCCCTTCTCAGACCCCTTCCCACCTTGTTGTTGGGACACTTCTCACATTCTTCTTGGTACCCTTCTTACCAGACTATGAGCAGGGATGGGCATTCTTTCTCTCTGTGTCTCCGTCTCCCCGGCCTGGGCCCCGGTGCACAGAAAACCTCAGCAATTATTACTCACAACAACAGACAGAAGGGAAAACACGGATCTCACCTCTGGCCCAAGCCAGGGACTGGGATGGGGCCAGAGGAGGCAGGGCAAATGAGCTGAACTACACCCAGGGCCCACCTGGGTCCAGTGAAGACACAACCTGTGGTGAAGAGGGGCATTTGGGCTTAAGGGCACCAAATCTGCTGGGGGGCTGGGGGACTGCCATGGAAGCAGCTCAGGGACCAGGGATGACCCTAGAGAAATACTCTCCCTGCTTTGTTTCCTCCACACCCCCAGCTGGGAAGTAGTCATAACCATCCAGCCCTGCTCAGTTCCCAGGGGCCCTTTGGAGTGACAGTAACAATGACAATGATGAAGATGAAGCTCCAAGTAGCAAAACCACTATCCACACTAGCATGTACAGGACGGCGGCAGCGTGCCGCACAGTGCATTGTGCCGACGATCCCAACAAACTATCACCCTGTGAGCCGGTGCCTTTGCTGGTGTCCCCATTACACAGGTGGTGTTAAAGAGCTTGAATAACCTGGCTGGGCGCACAGTGAACAGGAAAGCCATTGGTGCACGTGAAAAAAGTATTCACTTGGGAGATTCAGGCTACCTGAAATTTCCACGTACCTTTTGGCTCCTGTCTAAAGGATGGCTCCGGCAATCCCTTGCCTCAGCCAGAAGCCTTCCTGAATATCACTGCCTCTCTGCCTCCGACCCCTCCAAGGAGGCCTCCCTGATTATTACCATTATACTGACTTTCCCAGCTCAGCCCCCTGAGTATGTAGTCCTATTTCCCCCCTCCCCTCACTTATACGTAGTTGGGCACCAGGTCACCCCAGATGAGACTGAGAGTCTCGTATCCACCTGGGCAAGGGTTCCCTGAGGATGGGCACCAAAATCCCTGCTGTGCCCTCACAACACAGTGCCCAAGCCTGCCCGTCCTACCTCTTCTTGGTGGGGGTGATTTCTGCTGACCTCTTCTCCTGCGGGACAGCCGGGTTCCCACTGGGGATGGCAGCTCTTCTGCCCATGAGGGGCACCATCTCCTTGGGGTGGGCATTCATGGCTGGAGCACAATCATAGCACAGATGCTTAGGTTGAGTGGGCATGGAGGAGCTTCGGGGGTTTCAGACGTCCATGTGGCACCAGGTGGTCCCTGCTCATACCCCGGGGATGAGGAGCTCACTCTCTACCTTCCCTGGCTGCCAACTCTTCCCAGGAAGAGAGAAACTGTCCCCGCAATTTCTCCTGCTCCCTGCTCCAGCACCTCTGCCCCTGTGCATCTTAGGAGAGCCCAACAGAGCTTCCAGGCAGAGACCACCATGCCCTTAGCTTCTCTCAAGACATCATCTCAACCCACCAATCTTCAGGTGGACTCCCAAGAATTAGTTCTGCTTTTTCCATGTCCCTATCAGATTTTGTGTTCAGTGATATCCTCAACAGAACAGGACTATCACCTCCTTTGTTCTAGACACTATGCTCCTAATAATACAGACTCTGGCCTCTTTGGTGCTTTGGATTTCTTACCACCCTGGTGGTCTCGGAAGCTTACACACTGATTATCTTTGTCTCATCCACCCAGAACTGAGTGCAACCAGCCTTGTGGCCATCTGTCCATTAGACTCCCTCCTCACCTGAGAAGAAGCAGCTGAGACCCCTGCCCAGGGGCAGAGGAGGCAGCCCCTTAGTCCTGACCTGGTTTACTGATGTTCAGTACAGGCTGGATCCCTCTAAGGGGACCTTAGAGGTTTCTATGTAGAGGAAGGACAATCCAGGCAGAGGGGACAGCCTGAGCAAAGACCAGGGGTCAAGAAAGTTAGCAAGTGGCAAGGAGCTGGTGTGGCTGCAGAGTCTGGGAGTTCATGGGGACCAACGGCACTGAGAGGCTCCAAAAGCAGGTGGGGCCCTGTTGTGAGGGCCTGGAATACCAGTGAGGAGTTGTAGCTGGTCCCAAGGGCAGTGGGGGCTGGGAGGGCCCTGGGTTACACAGGAGACGGCCATGTTAGAGATAGCAGACTGTATGGGGAATGAAGGAGACTAGACCATGGAGCTAGGAGAAGGGTGCTGTAGGGGCATTGGCATGGGGAAGGGTGGGCTGGCCATGTAGGATGAGATGGACAAGGCAAAAGGCTGCATGGACAGGAGGTGACTCTGCAATCAACAGGGAGCCATTCTCAGCTTGAGCAGCCCTCAGAGAACTCCCTCAGGGTCATGGAGGTAGGGCAGGGGACAGATTTCTGTACGAAGAGCCCAGCTAGGCGGGGTGGAGCTGGGGCTGCTGGTAATCCTGGCCCAAATAGGAAAGCTGCCTGGAAAAAGTATCGGGAGAAGTTTGTCATCAGACTACAGTGAGGTCTGGAAATGGGATGGCTGCCCTCCCCAAAAGTAAGCAGCCCTGGGAGAGGAGGAGTTATCCAGGGGAGGGCTCTGGCCTTGGAGTCCAGGGACCTTGAGGCAGGGACCTTTGAGGAGGGGCCTTGAGGCCAGATAGATGGAGAGAGAATCATGAGCATGTAGGTCCCTGACCATATCCACAGTCACAGGAGGAGGATGCGTGGCCTTTACCACCTTCCTCAGCCCACAGTAGTCTGTGGACAGATAGGGCTGAAAGGCTGAGCTAAACCAAGAGTGAAGGAGAGGGATGGAGGGCATGTCTTACCCCTCCCCGGGCCTCTGTTTTCCCTTCTGATAAATGAGCTGAAAGGACCCCAAGGACCTTCGAGCTTTCACCCATGACAGCCGGCTGCTCCATCCTCCCTGCCCTGGGCCCATGAGTTGGGGCAGTCCTGGGAAGCTGGGGCAGGAGAGGGTCAAGAAAACTCTGGGCTGGAGCTATAATTAGCAGTGATAATTAGCTCCCTGAGTCACCCCATAAACGCTGAATTCTCACCTGCGGGACTCTCTCGCTGCCTTGCCCTCCCTCTCTGGGTCTGGGCTTCTCCGCCTGGGAAGTGCCTCCCAAGCCCTGACACTGACTGGGAGACAGGCCAGGCCTGGGGGCCCACAGGGAGCCCCTGCTGCCGCTGTCTCAGCCCCTGTGAGGGGCCTGCGCCTTGTTGCTCTCAAGCTCTGGGCTACATCATCTCATCCGGATGCCTCACATGCCTGCCCTGTAGAACCACAGCCGGGGGCCTGCTGGCGGAGACAAGAGCCTCCCCTTTGCCCCTTGGTGGTTTTGAGCCTTCCCCCTCCCCAAGATCTCCAAACCTCAGAGAAGTTTCCTGGGTCCATCAGGACCTGTGCTCTGACACACTCCCTGGGCCAAGAGCTCACGCCTCACTTTGCTTCTCCTGCTAGAGACCCGAGCTTCTTCCCAACCCCTCCCCCAAGGCCTATCAGCAAAGGGCAGTGTGGCCTAAAGGACGCCTTAGGTCCTCGCTCTGGCGTCCCCTCGGACCTTGGGCAGCACTGGCCGCCATGTGTGGTGAGGACTCACCTGGTGAGCTCTGGGTGGTGGTGGCTGCCCGTGCTCGGAGATCACCGCATGTCCTGGACCCAAGGACCCCCGGAGGGACTGTGGCTGAGGCGGCGGGAGGCTCCCATCATAGGCAGAGAGAAGGCTGAAATGTGTCAGAGGCAGAACTGGCTGGGCCACCTGCCCTGGGCGTCAGGCAGGCCACACCCACCAGCCATAGCTGCAGCGCCTGCCCACCCACATGCCCTGCTTGAGTCACCCCCACACCCACACGGCAGCGCAGCCTGGGACAGGGCAGGGGAGGCAGCAGGTGCCAAGGCCAGAGTTCTGGTCCCAACTCTTCTCTCTCTTGTATTTGATGCTTCTCATCACGGGCCCCAGTTTCCCCAACTGGGAAATGGGAATTACAATAGCTACTTCGCAAGCATGCTGTGAAGAGTCAAAGAGATCATGCTCGTGGGAGAGCCTAATGAATGGTCAGGTGCTCTGCCCTGAGCCCCGGGAGGAAAGGCCACAGCTGGACACTGGCCTGGTTGATCCCAGGGTGCCCAGCCCCAAGAGTTGGTATCTGTCCTTCAAAGTCTGTGATCAGATTCTGTTAGAGACAAAAGAAGTTCCCATTCAAAGCTTACCACCAGAAATTATGCACTTCAGACCTTGGTGTCAGACAGCCTCACCCCTTTCTGGCTATATGACCTTGAGCAAGTCATTTCTCCCATTTCCTGTCTGTGAAATGTGCATAGTAAATCCACCTTGCAGGGACGCCTGGGTGGCTCAGTCCGTCGAACATCTGCCTTCGGCTCAGGTCATGATCCCAGGGTCCTGGGATCGAGCCTCACATCGGGCTCCCTACTCCGCGGGGCACCTGCTTCTCCCTCTGCCTGCCGCTTCCCCTGCTTGTGTTCTCTCTCTCTCTGACAAATAAATAAAAATCTTAAAAAAAAAAAAAAACCCTTAAAAAAAATAAATAAATCCACCCTGCAGAATCACTTAAGAAAACACATAGAAAGGACTTGAACAAAGCCCAGAGTACAGAATGAACGCAATAAACAGTGACAGCTATTAATTCTCACTGGTTTTGTCATCCCAATCCATCCCCTAGCAACCACCTGGGCCACCTGCCTCCAGGCCCACGTTGGGGAAGCCTCTGTGCCCTCCCACCTCACGCGGACCGCAGCGTGGAGGGGGCGGAGCAAGGCTGCCACTCAGGAATCGCACCGCCTTTCCGGCTGGCAGCCGGGCCTGGGGGGGCGGGGTGGGGGGAGCCGGAAGTCTTGCTGACGCTGACGGGCAGGGCTTTCCCCAGCTGCCTTCTGGGGCAAGTCCCTCCGTCCCGCATCACCACAACCTGCCAGGCCTGGGCAGAGGCAGGCGGCAGGCTCGGGCTTTTAATCATAGAGCAGAGGGACCTATGGCCAGTAAGGGACAGGAAACCTGGCTTCGGGACCAACAGGCTTTAATGTGGGTAAAGTGGGGGCTGCTTTTGCAGTTTTACATCAGGGGGTCCTGAAGTTCCCACAAACATTGCCTGAAACTCCTTCACGAAAGCCTGACCTTGGATCGATCATAGTCGTCCCTCTAATAATTAATTTCTCCTTCTGACTCAGCCCCTTGTCCCTCTTAGCTTGCTTCTCACTGCCTCGGAGCCCTAGGGATGAGGCTGTTGTCCAATTTTAGTGTTTACATTTTGCCTGGTGTTGGCACTTTTTCTCAAAGGCCAGGCTGGAACTGCTCTACAAGGCCCTTGTCCCCACCCGAAGACACGCACTGCGCCCAGCCAGGAGTAAGGGGAGGCTTCTCTGCTGTGTGTGGGAGCAGGGACCAGGTCGATGACAGAGTCAGAGCCACTGCCGCCCGCCGCCGCGCTCCCACCCCAAATACAAGGAAACAGAAGCTCCTGCCCCTTGAGCTGGTCTACGTTCAATCCCATTTAATCCAACTCATTGTGAGAACTTACAGTAGGAGACAAGGCAGGGAGGCAAGAGCCAGCTTAGGGTTCAGAACTGGAGAAGGTGGTCTCCACCCTCGAGACACTGTGGGTCACACAGGAGACAGGCTCAGGCAGGAACCATAACCCCACCAAGCAGGTTGTAAAGACAAAAAGGGCTCAGATCACTGAGGAGGAAGGAGATCCCGCCCATGGGGAAGTGGGGGATGGGCTCAGGGAAGGGAGAGCATTGGGTTGGACTCTGGGAATGAGGGAGGACAGTGCACACAAGGACTGGGAGGCAAGAGATCCAGGCACATTCGAGGAGTGATGACGAGCTTGGGTGAGTGATGTACAACCGTGGTGGGGGGATCAGACAGGAGCCGCACGTCGGACCACAAGCCGGGGAGTCAACCCTGACTCTTTAATCGCAGGAGGCCGCACTGGTCCAGCCTTCTGGGGTACGGAGCCCTGTTGAAGACGCTCTTGCCAATGCGGTCAGGCAGGGAACCGGCCCGGCTCAACTGAGTCAGCTCCTCAAACCAAAGGCAACACTTCCCCAGCAGAAACCCTGGCTGCGCTCGCCTGGGGTTGCCCGTGAGCTTGATTCCCACCCTGTGTTTGGGATCCACACGGCACAGTGGCAGGAGTGTGGAGCCAGGAGTCTGGCCTTCTGCCCAGCCCGGAGCCCTGTAGAAGCCAGCATTGCCCACTCAGCCTTGGCCGCCACATGGGCAACTCTCAGTGCTCAGTCCAGTTGCACCAGTGCCTGGGCACCCAGGAGCACTGACAAGCCGCCCTCCACAGTCCAGCCCCTCATTCCTTGGAGCAGCTGTGAGCCATGCTGGGCCCCCCTTGCTCAGTGACTTCCGCTCCTTCTGTGACAGTGCACGGAACAAATAGAGCCTAAATAAAGACAAAAGTGACAGAAGGAACCTTCCAAACGGGCTGTGTGTGTGAAGCAAAACACCAAGGGCAGATGCAGCCTGGCGCCCGGGAGGGATGTGGCAGTGAGAGGGAAAGGGCGGCTTCTGGACGTTCCTGCCCCAACCCTGCCTCCCAGAGGCCCTAATTTTAGGCAGGCCCTAGCCATCTGCCAACATACCCTACATGGGCCCCCATCTCACCAGACTGGGGTCAGTGTCTGTCCGCCCTGGACTGTAAAACGCCCCCCAACAGACCTACCAGGCAGGAGTCAAGCACACTCTTACCTCCTCCCCACACTTCCCAAGCCCTGCAGACATCAGACCCTGGTGGCAGGTGCACAAGCTCTCCCCTCAAGAAGGAGGAAGGCAAGTGGTCTCTGTAGGGTGAGTGCACCCTAGGAAATGCCCCACTTAGTGCAGTGAACAAGGAGGGAGGACTGGGAGCCAGGTAGAGCTCCACCAACACCCTCAGGCCTGAGCAGACCCCTGCCCCCCGACAGTGGTGAGGAGAGGCTTTGTCTGCATCCTGGCAGGCCACAGTTCTCCTTGGGCTAGGAGAGCTGAGCAGCCTCCCCATCGGGGATTCTGGCTTGTGGCCCATCCTGCCTCCAGGTGTTGGGAGGGAGGGACATGGGGACAGAGAGAGATAAAGAGACAGTGACAGATACAAAAGGGCAAAGAACAGGCTAATTGCATGTGTGTCCTTTAAACAACACAGGTTTACAGAAAAGGTTACAATCATTCATTTTAGAAAAGAATGCCCACAAGATTCCTTCCAGCTCTGAGTAAGTTTTTTGTTTTGTTTTGTTTTGTTTTTTAGAGCCACCATTTTTTTTTATTTTATAAGTATTACAAAAGAAGCACACATGTCATCACATTGCCTATTTTTAGGGTTTTAAAAAATACTTTGATAATTATATTTCAATATAATTGTGATCCTACGTATTCTGGTTTAGGCATTTAAAAACAGTAGTTTAGGAAGGGATTCGCAGGCCTCACCAAACTGCCAGAAGGCTGATGGCACTAGAAGGGTAAAAAGCCCAAGTCTATGAGAATCCATTTGCCAGGGTCCTGATTCCTCAGTCAGGTCTGGTCAGTTCTCTCTCTCTTTTTTTTTTTTCATTTTTTTTATTATGTTATGTTAATCACCATACAGTACATCATTAGTTTTTGATGTAGTGTTCCATGATTCATTGTTTGTGCATAACACCCAGTGCTCCATGCAGAACGTGCCCTCTTTAATACCCATCACCAGGCCAACCCATCCCCCACCCCCCCCCCCCCAAACCCTCCCTTTTTTTTTTATAGGCCATCGTCCCTCATGGTTCATCTCCCCCTCTGATTCCCCCCCTTCATTCTTCCCCTCCTGCTATCTTCTTCTTCTTTTTTTTTAAACAGATAATGTATTACTTGTTTCAGAGGTACAGATCTGTGATTCCACAGTCTTGCACAATTGACAGCACTCACCATAGCACATACCCTCCCCACTGTCTATCACCCAGCCACCCCATCCCTCCCACCTCCACCACTCCAGCAACCCTCAGTTTGTTTCCTGAGATTAAGAATTCCTCATATCAGTGAGATCATATTATACATGTCTTTCTCTGATTGACTTATTTCACTCAGCATAACACCCTCCAGTTCCATCCACGTCGTTGCAAAGGCAAGATCTCATTCCTTTTGATGGCTGCATAATATTCCATTGTATATATACACCACTTCTTCTTTATCCATTCATCTGTCGATGGACATCTTGGCTCTTTCCATGGTTTGGCTATTGTGGACATTGCTGCTATAAACATCGGGGTGCATGTACCCCTTTGGATCCCTACATTTGTATCTTTGTGGTAAATACCCCATAGTGCAATTGCTGGATCGTATGGTAGCTCTATTTTCAACTTTTTGAGGAACCTCCATACTGTTTTCCAGAGTGGCTGCACCAGCTTGCATTCCCACCAACAGCGTAGGAGGATTCCCCTTTCTCCACATCCCCACCAGCATCTGTCATTTCCTGACTTGTTCATTTTAGCCATTCTGACTGGTGTGAGGTGGTATCTCATTGAGGTTTTGATTTGGATTTCCCTGATGCAGCTCTGAGTAAGTTTGAAAGTTGATCTAATTTGCAGAAACTTGCAAATATCTGACATCTACATGACACCCTCTAAGGAAGGCCTACAGGAAAAGCAAGGGGTCCCAGACCCACAACAGGAAGCACAAAGCCCTCATGTCTCCGCGCTGCAGGGATGGCCTGGCATGCCCTAGCCCATTCTCTGCCAGATAGCCTGGCACCACAGTTAAGTTCCAGGCTCTGGAGTCAGACTGCTTGGGGGCAGACCCAGGCAATGCTGTTTACTGGCTGTGTAACCTTCCTAACCTCAATAGTAAGTCCCAGCCTCGATAGTACCACACGCACACATACACACCACAGAGCCAACTAGCTATGCTAGCCCAGTGACTGGCACAAAGTTCACACTTGGTATGATATTTATTTATTTATTTACTTACTTATTTATTTGATGAGTGACAGGATGGGTGGAGGCAGAGGTATGTACCACTGCAGGGGGCGGGACTATGGTCACTATAAATGGAAGATCATTAAAAACTCTTGCCACGTGCTTTTGAGACATGGTTCTGTACTTTTATCTGAACAGCAATAGAGCTAATGTTTTTGGGACTGTGATGTATCACACAGAAGGAGGAAGCTGCTCTGGTGAAACCTGATTCTGGCAGAGCTGGAAATAGGGCCAGCCTCCCCTACCTTCTCTGAGGACTAAAGGACATCACCCCCAGACCACTCTGTCCAGGGGAGGTATTAAACACAATACAGAGAACAGCTTCAGCATTTTACATCAAAGGACATGTTTTGTTTTGTTCTAAGAGGTGTTTTCCTGGGCCTCATTTACTTTTACTCCTAGTACTATAAATAAATAAAACAGGGTCATCACATATGTCCACACAAAGATTCATCATTCATGATACTTAACAAAGTCAGTAAAAATATGAGAGCAAAATCCTTTCTTGGTGGAGACTCACTTGGGGACAGTGAGGGTTGGACGACTATCTCTTCCCATGCATCCAACAATGCTTCCCGCAGCTTGTCCAGAGAAGGCGAGGCAAGTGCCTAGGCAGGCCCAGACCAGGTCAGGCTGCTAATAGTGCCCTATTGTTCTCTACACGGTGGGATATTCTGAGGACCAACAGTGTTAAGAGTACCCTAGAGGGGTCCCTCACTTCTCCCCTAAAGCAACAGGATCCTTGAAGACCTCAGCATCTTCTGGCTTGAGGGACCCTGCAAAGTGCCTCAGATGAACTTCCTCTGGCTGGGCAGAGTGCCTTTCTCTTGTACTTGCATCTCTTAAAAGGGGAACCAGGGCAAAGTTCTTCCAGTTTCTTCCTGAAACTAAAGGGTAAAACATCATTACTGCCCTGGATGCAGCAAGCAGAAATAAACACTTATTTCTTGGCCTTACCAACTTGTTGGTCTCTTAAAGGAGACCCAGACAGTTGGTCCTTCCTGAAACACATGGATAGGTGCCATTTCCTCTTCCCTTGCCTGTTTAAGGAGCCTCGTCCACTCTGGAAGATCCTAAATTCTCTTCCTTCACCTCACCCTGACTTGCAGGGACCTCATGAGAGTCTATTGCTTGCCCTTCCTTAGTCTCCATTTCCTCCCTGCCCACATGGGAGGAAGAGCAGATCTCCACAGAGCAACACTGGGGCCTGTGCTATGGTGGCGCCACATCAGGTTAGCTGTAGGGTGATGAATAGCAGCCAAAGAATCAGGATTTGTGGACCAGGCCCCACCAGGGCATAGCAGATTGGGAACAATGCCAAAGAAACCATGGTATCATTAGGCCTTGAATGGGGCTCTCATGTGTGGGCAGGGAGCTCCTAAAGAGAATCCAGTTATCACCACCATAGCCACCTCCAGCTTCCCAGCCACCTAGGCAAACCAAAAACCAAGAGGGAAAGCTGTACATGTTCTCCTACTGCTGCCAGAGCCCTGGTCAGCCAAGCCCTCTGGTTGGCCACCCTGGGCCTAATCTCTCCAGAAAACCAGCCTCAATTTATACCTCCTATCCTCAGGCCATAGTTCAGTCTCTTCTGCTGGTGTCTAACACTGACCACATGTCAAAGGCATCAGGAATATGGGAGACTGGGCCCATCATGACCACCCCAGCCAAATTCCCCAAGTCTTGGTGTTTACCCAAGCCTGCAGGCTGATGCTGGCCTGCCCCCAAACATAGTCTTACATCAAGCATCAACTGCTGAAGGAGGATCCCTTGGGAAACCCAGGCATTGAAGCAGGACTTCATGGGGACATAGGCCAGGTCTCATTGAGACACAATCTTCTGGCTGGTTCAGTGTTGGGGACACCCAGCCTCAGAGACTGCTTGGCCCAGCTCTAGCTCAAAGGCCCTGAAAGGAGGCATGGGGCTCCCAGGGCCCACTTCCCACAGTCCTGATGCCAAGACTCCCTCAGTGCCCTCCCTAGCTCAGCCACTAACTGCTTTCTTCCCTGGCCTTTCTCTCATGCATTCCTTCACCCCTTCCCAATCATACACACTTTGTGGGTGGGAGAGTTCCTTGTAATCTGAATTGTATGACTATTCATTACAAAAGTGTCCACTGCTACAAAGTTGTACAAAAAAGCAAAATCCCCAGGAAATATTCACTAACTAATTATAAATGTGAAATCAGGGAACCTCTAACCATCTCCTACCCCAACCCAGGTAACACAAATGTGTATATCCCTGCTACTTGGTCCATATCTTTATTAAGATCACAGTGAATGTGCAATGTTATAAACAGCCAACAATGTCATGCAAACACAATGCAAATCAGCTGCAAAGTAAAACAGCAAATCTTTCAAAGATGTGAGGTTTCAGGAAATCAATAAGATTGATATTGGAAAACTGCTCAAATTACAGGCAAAATCATCTTTGAATGGCTCTGTGGCAAAGTTAGACCAGTAACAATTGAAGAGATAATCAATAAGTATTATGACATGACACAGGAAGTGCTTCTAATGAAACTAGTGGGAAAATTACAGGATTTCAGGAGGCTCTTGATAAAATAGATTTCTACTTCCAGCCCTGATGGAGTATGTAGTACTGGGCTAGCTACCCTGTTGTAAACAACCATAAAACAGGACAAAATGCTTGCAGTAAATGTTTCCAGGCATAGGACACAGACCGAAAACTGCAATTGTTGAGAAAAAGTGAAATTCACAAAGTAAGCCCTGTGATCGCCCTGATGCTTTGCATAGGGACAATTTCTCTGTGGTGCTGTGAGCTGGAGTCCAAGCAGAGCATGGCAGTACCTCAGAACTAAGGAAGAAGAGATCAGGGTTTGGGGCAAGTGAAGCACAAGAATCTGTGAGAAAGGGCTCAGAAAAAGAGGAAGAAGAGAGCTGTGGGGGTGGAGGTCTAGAAGTCTGGGCTGGGGGCTGGACTGTACTTGTACAACATGAGACTGCATAAGGCTTACCAGACAGTGGCCACTATAGGGCTGAAAATGGGATAGAAACACCAGAAGCTGAGCAGTACTGAGTGGAGAGACCTCCTTAACACCTTTTTTCTACTCTGAGGATCAAGTTAAAATACCAGAAATGCCCTACTTACTCTACATGCCCTAGAGTAAGATCTAAGCAAGACCTAAACCTAGACCTGACAAAGCCTAAAACCAAGCCCTGACAAGATCCTCAGTGGAAACAGTTTGGAGGTTGAGTCCCACATGTTTGATGGAATTGGCAAATACCCTTGGCATTTCACAGATCTACCATAATAAAGTTTAAAACTAAGCCTACACAAGTTCAGGGTGATTCATCAATAATTAAACTGCCAACTAAAACAAAAATTCAATCCAGGGTCTCTACAACATATTATCCACAATGCCCAGTATACAATTAAAAGTTACTAGACATGCAAAGAAACAGGGAAACGTGACTCACAATAAGAGGGGAGAAAAAGCAGTCAATAGAAACTGTCCCCAAGATGGCCCAGATGTTGGATTCAGTGGGGAGACAATTTAAATCAACTATTATTAATGTGTTCAAAAAAAACAAAGGAAAATAGGATCTTGACGAGAGAACAGCTAGAAAATCTCAGGAAAGAAAGGAAAACTGTAAATAAGTAAATAAATTAAATAAATAAATAAATAACCAAATAGAAATTCAAAAAGCAAATAGCATAATACTTGAAATGTAATACTCACTGGATGAGCTAAATGGTAATTTGGAGGATAGGATCAGTGAACTTGAAGACAGAACAATAAAATTATCAAATTTGAGAAACAGAGAGAAAAAAAATCAAGGAAAAATAAAGCCTCAGAAACCTGTGGGACAATATCAAATGATCTAAAATACATGTAGGGGCACCTGGGTGGCTCAGTCAGTTGAGCATCTGGCTCTTGATTTGAGCTCAGGGCATGATCTTGGGGTCCTGGGATCAAGACCTGTGTCAGGCTCTGCACTCAGCAGGGAGTCTGCTTGAGATTCTCTCTCCCTCCCCCTTTGTCCCTCCCCCTGCTCTCTCTCCCTCTCTGTCTCTCTCTCTCAAATTAATAAATAAAGCTTAAATAAAATAAATTAAATAAAAGACATGTATTCGAAGTCCCCCCAAAATAAGTTAGGGACAATGAAGCAAAATATATATAGTTTCCCAATTTGACGAAACACTGATGTACAGATCCAAGAACCTCAGGCAAGCCCTAAACAGGATAAACCAAAAAAACCAAACCTAAGCACATTTTACTCAAACTGCTGAAAACCAAAGATGAAGAGAATATTTTGAAAGCAGTCAAAAAGAAAAAGACAAATTACATACAGGAATGCAAATGATGAGTAACTTTTCATCAAAAACAATGGAGGCCAGAAGATAGTGGAGAAAAAGTTAGTGATGGAAATTTTTTTTAAAAAGAGGAAAAAAAATCTGTTAACCCAGAATTCTTTATTTGGTGAAAACATCCTTCAAACATGAGAATGAAATTCACATTTTCAAGTAAACAAAAGCTGATAGCAAACTAATTGACAGTGATAGAAATTAGACAAGTGGTGACCTGGGATGGGGAGAGTGGAACTGATTACAAAAAGGGCACTTCCTGGCCTGATGGAAATGTTCTATATCTTGAGTGGAGGAGTGGTGGTTGCCTGAGTATACATTTGCCAAAACTTACCAAACCATACATTGAAAATGTGTGCATTTTATTGTATGTAAATTATATCTAATAAAGTTGATTTTAAGTTTATAAAATATTTTAAAAATGAGTTTCTCTATGAAGCAATATCAAATATGAAAAATGCAGTATCACGCTATCAGGCAAGTTGATCTGAAAATTGTGCCCCTTCCCCCACCCTCCCAAAGAAACCCCAAACTGTCAACATCTGATTCATTCTTTATTTAAGAATTAGTAACATCAGCAAAATGGCAAAGTAGGCAGCTCCCAAAACCTAGGCCTCCACAAAAACATCAAAAACAGATAAAAAAAAAAAACCCAGAAACTTTGGAACCAATGTTGTCACAACTCTGGGAAATAGTCTAAGGTTTATAGCAAACAAGTAAATGCTGAATCAGTTTTAAAAATCAATGTAAATGTATCATATGACCTCACTGATATGAGGAATTCTTAATCTCAGGAAACTGAGGGTTGCTGGAGTGGTGGGGGGTGGGAGGGATGGGGTGGCTGGGTGATAGACACTGGGGAGGGTATGTGCTACGGTGAGCGCTGTGAATTGTGCAAGACTGTTGAATCACAGACCTTTACCTCTGAAACAAATAATACATTATATGTTAAAAAAAAAAGAAGAAGAAGATAGTAGGAAGGGAAAAATGAAGGCGGGTGAATCAGAGGAGGAGAAGAACCATGAGAGACTATGGACTCTGAGAAACAAATTGAGGGTTCTAGAGGGGAAGGGGGTGGGGGATGGGTTAGCCTGGTGATGGGTATTAAAGAGGGCACGTATTGAATGGAACACTGGGTGTTATATGCAAACAATGAATCATGGAACACCACATCAAAAACTAGTGATGTAATGAATGGTAATTAACATAATAAAATAAATTAAATAAAGAAATCCAAGGGAGAAAAAAAATCAATGTAAAAATGGTAGGGAACTAAAACTATAGAACTCTTACAAAAAAACATAGGGGAAAATCTTCAAGACATTGGATTTGGCGATAATTTCTTACATATTACACCACAAGAATAGGCAATAAAAGAAAAGAATAGATAAATTGAGCTTCATCAAAATAAAAACTTTCATATCAAATGACAACTCATAGAATAGAAGAAAACACTGGCAGATGATATACCTGATAAGGGTCAATATCCAGAGGTATAAAGAACTTCTATAACTCAGCAACAACAAAACAAATTTTTAAATGGGCAAATTGCTCTAATAGGCATTTCTCCAAAGAGTACCTATAATGACAAATGAGCATATGAAAAGATATTCAAAATCTAGTCATTAGGGAAATGCAAATCAAAACCACCATGAGATACAACTTCACATCCATTAGGATGGCTACAACCACAACCACAACAACAAAAACCCAGAAAACAGCAAGTGTTGGTGAGGATGTGGAAGCCTCATGTATTGCTGGTGGGAATGTACAGAAATACAGCTGCTTTAGAAAACAGTTTGGCAGTTCCTTAAAAAGTTAAACATAGAACGATCATATGACCCAGCAGTTTCATTTCTATCCAAAAGAACTGAAGCATCTGACTCTCGATTTCAACTCAGTTCTTGATCTCAGGGTCATGAGATTGAGCCCCTCGTTGTCGGGCTCCACACTGAGTGTGGAGCCTGCTTAAGATTCTCTGTCTCCCTCTGCCCCTCCCCGCTTCTGCCTCTCTATAAATTAATTAATTAATTAATAATAAAAAAACTGAAGGCAGTGAGTCAAACAGAACTGTGTAGATCAACGTTCATAGCATTATTCACAACAGCCAAAAGTTGGACACAATCTTGATGTTGATTGAACAGGTGAATGGTAAATAAAATATGGTATATACCTACACTGGAATATAATTGAGCCAGACACAAAAGGTGTGTCCTGCTTATACCAAGGTATCTACCCTAGGCAAAATCACAGAGACAGAAGGTAGAATAGAGGTTACCAGGGGCTGGGGGGTGGGAGAAATAGGAGTAATTGTTCAATAGGTACAGAGTTTCTGTTTGAAATAATGAAAATGTTTTGGAAATAGATAGTAGTGAAGGTTGCAACACATTGTGGATGCAATTAACACCAATGAACTGTACACTTAAAAAATGATTAAAATAGCAACTTTTGTATTATACATATTTTACCACAATTTTCTAAAAGCTAAAAACAAAGAATTAGTGCAGAATTGTAATTATAACTCAAAATCTGTTCAATACAAACTAGATTTGCTTCATTTTTAAGTAAATGTTCTCAATTAGACCTTCAATTTAACACGTACTATTAAATGTTTACCATGAACTGTTAAAGGACTTTTTCTCTGGTGGTGGTTTTCCACAGAGCATTTCTGCTCAAGGTATACCTACCCTTTACTCTTCCCATGCTTCCTCTGCCTGCCTGGATGTGTTCCTGCAAGGGGAGTTTTTGCCTGCACCTGCTTGTGCCGTAGGCCTCACAGAGCGGAATGTGACACTGGGTATGAGCAACGGGAAGAGGAGATAGGGCAGCCCACAACAAGGCCAGCTGTCCCAGATGGCTGTACATGGGACAAGGGCTTCCGCTGGGGCACCTGAGGACAGGCGCCTGGGCCAGGGTGCTGGCCGAGCTGGGCGTGAGCATGGGCATGTGTCACAGTCAGCTGTGCAGGAATGTGTGAGAGTACACAAGAGTGCCTGTGACTGAGTGTGTGCAGGTGCCTGACCCTTGGGGCTGTCCCAGCATCCAGGCTGGGGGGTGAAGAGGGCCTGCAAGGAGCAAGGAACCTCAAGGCTTCACCTGCCCAACATCAGGCCACTTCCATGCCACAGCACACTTCCCTCACACCTCACCTCTGCCTGACCGCAGGGAGAAGCTCAGGGTGCGCTTGATGCCCTCACAGTTGCCCGGGTCTTCATTGATGATACCTACATTGGTGTTCCAGGTGGTCCAGTTGACCTCATCCACCCTGCAGGGCAAGGAGACAAGGGAGCTAGGAGCTGATGGCCTAAAAGCCATGCCTGGCTTCCCAGGTTGAGGGAGTGCCACAGGCGAATCCCAAGAAGCCCATAGACCAGGATCGGGAGACATAGCTGGTAGGGGGAGGGCTGAGAGGGGCTGCTTTTTGGACACCACCCCCAAAGCTGTGTTCTCGGACCACATCATGAAGCCCAGGGACTTTAAATGCTGGATTCCTGGTTCTGACCCGGATCACTGGATGACCCCTTTTGGACACCTCATTTTCCAGTAGGTCTGCTATGCCCACAGTAAGTCCCTGGTGCCCACAGCTGAGCCTTGGGGTAGCCCCTGTGCCTACCTACAGTTGGCCTTGGGAGAGTCCCCTATGTTCATGACTGGTCCCAGGAAGCCCTGAGGCAGGTTTCTCTATCCACAGCTGGCTCTAGGTGAGCCCCCTATGCCCACAAAGCCCCAGAATGGCCTCTGTACCCATAGCTGGCTCTGGGTAGATCCCTGATATCTATAGGTAAGCCCCTGAGCTCCCTAAGTTTGATTTCTTGCCTGGGCATTACCTGAAACACCACCTGTAGTCATCCTTGCCATCAGGTGTGTACCCCACTTGCAACAGCTTGCCTGAGCGGAAGGCCTTCCTCATACACTTAAGGAAGCTCTTCTCCGTGTCCAGGATGGTGATAGCTCTCTGGGAGAAGACACAGAGAGCAGAGGGACAGAGGGCTCATCCCAGGGCTTCCCTTGGCTGCCAGTGGGGCTTCCAAGATCAGCCTCTCCAGAGTTTCTCCCAGCCCCAGTGCCCCTAAGCTAAACCCCAGTGCCTTTTATCTCAGGCTTGTTTCTGTAGCCTAGCAGGTGCACAGTCCAAGCTCAGCCTATCCAGCCCAGACCTGCCCAGGTGCTGCTGGTGCCTGCCAGGTCAGGTCGGGGCAGGGCCTCCCATGAGCGATGTGGAGTGTCTAGCCCCGGACTCTTCCCTGAAGTCCTCACAAAGGAACAGATAGTGTAGCAGCTAAGAGCAGGGCCACAAGATGGGACCGCTTGGCTTGAATACTGACTGTGCTACTTACTACAGATAGTCCCCAACTTACAATGGTTCAACCTAATGATTTTCAACTTTATGATGGTGTGAAAGCAATACGCATTCAGCAGAAACCATACTTCAAGTTTTGAATGTGGATCTTTTCCCAGGCTAGCAAAACATGGTACAATCCTCTCTCATGATGCTGGGCGTTCCCAGGCAGCCATGCAATCACAATGGTCAACAACCAGTACACTTACAACCACTCTGTACCCATACAACCATTCTGTTTCTCACTTTTATTATAGTATTCAATAAATTTCATAAGACATCCAACACTTTATTATAAAATAGGCTTTGTATTAGATGATTTTGCCTAACTGTAGGCTAATGTTAAGTGTTCTAAGCACATTTAAGGTAGTCCAGGCTAAGCTGTGATGTTCAGTAGGATGGGTGTATTAAACGCATTTTTAAATTATGGTGGTTTATCGGAATGTAACCCCATTGCAGGTTGAGGAAGATCTGTAGTTACCTTGGACACAGACACCTAACTTCTCTAGGCCTCATTGCCTCTATCCAAAAATGGGAACAGTAATGGTAGCCACTTGATAGCATTGTTGTGAGAATTAAATGAGAGGATGTAAAACACTTAGAACAATACATGGTATATAGAGTCAATGCTACTTAATAAGAATGACACTTTTATTATTAGGTGGGAGGGTAGATGTGGACCAGGGGCCTCAAAAAATAAGCTGTTAGGGCTCACCCCATTCTAGCTGCTGCCCCCAAGTCTGGTCTCTGGTGCCCACACTAGACCAAGCTCCTGTGAGGCAGGCACCCCATGGGGCTGAGCCCTCCATCTCCTGCCCCTAGGGACTGCCCAGCCACAGTAAGCACATGCTGTGAACACCAGTTGGGGATGCTTGGGAGGAAAACCCTGAAGAAGGGCTCAGAAGGGAGATGACTGGGGGAGAGATGCTGCTGCTTGATCCCCCAGGCCTGCCTGGGCTCTCTGCCCTTCCTCAAACCCTGCAGGAGCTCACACACCTAGCTGTGTTAAGCAGCAAACAGAGCTGCAGACAGCCTCCTGCTGCACACACCCCACCCACTGACCCACCTGTAGCTTCCAGATGTTCTTGCTCTCCTGCGCAATCTTGTTGACAGTCTCACCCATGAGGGCAATGAGCATGTTGAGCAGAAGGATATAGGTGAGAATCACGTAGGCCAGCAACAAGATGATGAAGACAGCCTTGAAGTCATAGTTCTCGGTGAACTCCAGGTCGCCCATACCAATGGTGAACTTGAACAGCTCCAGACACGTGGAGTACAGGCTGTTGTAGGAGCTGTCAGGTGGCCGGCAGCCAGGCCCTCGCCACCTGTGCAATGTGGACTCAGCCGGCACAGAGTTATTCTTCCCATCCTCAATCAGCGTCACCACCGCTACAGGGCATGGGGAGGGACAGGTGCAGCTGCATGGAAGCCAAGACAGATCCACCCACAGACATACCCCATAACTCAGGATGGGTCTGCAGCAGGGATGCTGCTTGGCCATGGGACACTTTTTTTGTGAATTTAACAGAAAAACAACCCTCTTCTTCAGAACTATCAGCAAACTGTTGTAGTATAGTTGATCCTTGAACAACATGGGTTTGAACTGCATGAGTCGACTTATACACAGAATTTTTTCAATAAACACAAATACTGTAAATGTATTTTCTGTATGATTTTATTAATAACATTTTCTTTTCTCTAGCTTACTTTATTATAAGAATATACTGTATAATATATATATAATGTACAAAAGATGTGTTAATTAACTGTTTATGTTATTGGTAAGACTTCTGATCAGCAGTGGGCTGTTATTAAGTTTTGGGGGAGTCAAAACTTATTTACAGATTTTTGACTGTGCAGGGAATTGGTGTTCCTAATCGCCATGTTGTTCAAGGGTCAACTGTATACTGTTCTGTTACAATAAGAACTTTATCATCCTCTGCTAGGAAAAAACTGTTAAAATAAATATGCAAATCTATATATACAATGTGAATATAGTCACCTTTGTGCAGCACACAACCTGCCTAACTTTACATATCAGTTCTGAATCCATACCCAGCTTCTCAGTCACCCCCTGTCTGCCTGTACCCCTTAGAGGGTGACCCAGAGCCAGCTCATTCCAGAATGATAGGGACTAAGCAGCTCAGAGCAGAAGAGTCTCGCTGCATGCTACACCTTTCTTTGGGAAATAGAATCTGGAGCCTGAGAGCTTCTGTAGCAGTTGTGCCCCATGGTTACTGTGTATCCGGTATCCATTAACCCACGTCCTGTGGGTACCGACAGACCAGGGCCTTCAGACCAGGTGCCAGGGCCCACACCCATCCCTGTCAGTCAAAGTGCCTAGTCAAAGCTGTCCATAACTCTGAGACAGAGATTCCAAAACAGGCTGTGGGGTGGGGACAGGAGACGGTGTGCATATCAACCATATAACTGCAGGACTCAGATGAGGATCAAAGCAGACCCAGGTGCCCAGAAATGCTGTGCATGTGTCAGAAGGGCACAGGAACCAGCTTGGAGAGACCCCGAGTAAATATGATTACTCAGACAATCTCAGCATCAAGATAGATGGTAATAGTAAAGATTATAACCCATTTAACAAAGTGAGAATCCATGAAAAGGAAACAAAACCAGAAAAGAATCTGTGAGGCCATGCTGATGTAAATAATAAATGAATGTAGGAGAATGGAAATGAATGTAGGAGAATGGAAAGCTCCTCCCTACAATAGAATACCAGCTAATAAATGTGGAAGCCATGACAGACTTAGAAAATTGTCATCTGGCAACTATTGGGATTAAGTGATTCAAGTGAGAATCATCAGTGGATGCTAAAACTACCAGTTGAGTTATGATGAGAAATAGGATATCTACCTAGTCTCAAAGCATCTCCTCACAAATTACTTATTGATTCCAAAGGTAAAGGTAATTACTTGACAGTAATCTAGCAGACCCATCAAAACCAAGTAATTAAAATTAACATCACCAGAAATGGACTAAACAAACATTATGGGACTCCTGATACAATGCACTGAGGAAGACACACATTACTTCCTTGATATTATGATTAAAAAAATGCATACCTGAATCTAACTGTGAGGAAACATCAGACAAACTCAAATTGAGAGACACTGTAAAAACTAGCCTTTACTCATTAAAAATGTTAAGGTCACAAAAGACAAGGAAAAACTGGAAAACCACTCCAGATTAAAGAAACTAAAAAGACATGACAACTGAATGTAATTCCTGATCTGGGATTTTCATTTCTCTAAAGGACATTATTAGGACAATTAGTGAAATCTGCTGGGCATCTACTATTCTGGGGTCATAAGGACGTCATCCACAACTCCCCCCTCCTTGTTCTTTGTTCTGGTGGGAGAGGGGGGCCTGGTATGTAAAGGGGTCAAGTTTCAGGGGAGCCCCCAAACCTGGGTCAGGGCCAGATAGCCTGATTCTTGAGGAATTAGCTGGGAAAGTGGGTCCTGAACTAAACCAACACCTCCCCAGACATTACAGAGGATGGACAGTTTATAGACCATGTCCCACACACCCATGGTATAGAGGGGCTCTGTGGGCAAACTGCTTGGACACTGGCACCCACCTTCTCAATCATAACAGCATAGATGCCCATCTACTGGGCATCTACTATTAGCTATTAGCTAACAGTACTGTATTGATGTTTATTTCCTTATTTTGATCATTATACATTGCTTATGTAAGAAAATATTCTTGTTTTTAAGAAATGCAGGCTTTATCCAGTGGTAAAGGGCTGATCATGTCTGCAGCTTACTATTTTTTTTTTAAGTATGGTGGTGGTGGTGGTGGTGGTGGTGTGCATGTGCGCGTGCGCGTGTGTGTACCACGGAGAGAATGTGATTTTAAAATGTGGTAAAATTTGGAGAATCGGGATAATAAGTAAAGAAAAGTTATTTGCATTATTTACAAGTTTTCTGAAAGTCTGAAATAATGTCAAAATTAAAATTTAAAAAGGGGCACCTGGGTGGCTCAGTTAAGTGTCAATTCCTGATTATAGCTCAAGTCATGATCTCAGGGTTGTGAGGTCAGGCTCTGCGCTAGGCACGGAGCCTGCTTAAGTGTCTCTCTCCCCCTCTCCCTCTGCGCCTCTCCCTCTGTCTCAATTAATTAATTAATTAAAAATTAAAAATTAAAAAAAATTAAGCCAAAATGCAGCTATACTTTAGGCAAGCAGTACTTCATACCTCTAAAATTGCTTACAATGTTTTATGAATTACATTTCCAGGTTCTCCTGCTCATTTCACTGTGTTCTTTATTTTCCAGCTCTGTCACCTGCAGATACACATCCCAGCGGGCCTCTCCCCACCCAGCCCCTGCAGAGTCCTCAGGAAGCTGAGGTGAGCAGGATCTCTGCCCACCACCAGCCCTGAGCAAGCCCATTACCTGTGGAAAACCCGAACAAGAAAACAAGGTAGACAAACATGAAGCGACACAGGTCTCTCAGGATCATCTGCAGGAGAGAGCAGGCTTGTCAGAACCAAGTCCAGTCCCAGACAAGGCCAAGGGAAGGGTCAGGACTATGTCAGCCCGGGGGTTAATCTTGAGCCCAAGTAGAACTGGAGAACATGCAGGAGGGTTTGGTTTGGTGGTTTTCAGTTCTGGGGTCATAAGGACGTCATCCACAACTCCCCCCTCCTTGGCCTTTGTTCTGGTGGGAGAGCGGGGCCTGGTATGTAAAGGGGTCAAGTTTCAGGGGAGCCACCAAACCTGGGTCAGGGCCAGATAGCCTGATTCTTGAGGAATTAGCTGGGAAAGTGGGTCCTGAACTAAACCAACACCTCCCCAGACATTACAGAGGATGGACAGTTTATAGACCATGTCCCACACACCCATGGTATAGAGGGGCTCTGTGGGCAAACTGCTTGGACACTGGCACCCACCTTCTCAATCATAACAGCATAGATGCCCATCTGCTGGAAGCCGCGGGTGTAGTAGAGCATGTTGGTCCAGCCCATGGCCAGGGAGAACACCATGGAGGCCACGTACTCCTTGTGGTGGCAGAAGTACAGCACCACGGTCCCCAGCATGAACAGTGACTGCACAAAACTGAAAGTGGAGGGATAGGAAGCTCTGTCTGTGAGCACCCAGGAGACCTGGCACCCCTCAGAAGCACAGACCACAGGCTGGGGTAGGAGCCAGGGTTGGCTGTCCTGCTTCCTTTAGCCAGTGGGAGCAACAGCGACCCCAAGGGGGCAAAAGTTGGTTAGGGGGTGCAAAATCTTACACTCTTTTTGTAGAAAGCACAAATATTAACACAGTACATAGACAACTATACAGTATATTTGTGGTACTAGATTTCATGGAAGGAGCAATTAGGAAAAAAAACATCTAAAAAGGTAATAATGAAAAAAGGCTGACTTTATCAGTAAGGAGGGGCAGGCCATGCTCTCCTGAAAAATCACAGTGGAGTCTGCAGGTCACACCCTCAAACTCAGAAGCAGAGCCAGGGAAGATGTCCCTCAGCAACTTGGCCTGCTGAGGGCTACCTAAGTAGGATCCATGGATAAGGTAGAGTAAATCTGATAATCCTATGTCAGAGTCTGCCCAGGGCTCCCTTCTTTACATATTCATCCCAGGTCTCCTTGTTCATCACGGCCTCCTCCTGAAAGTTCCCCCAGCTACCTTTACACTGTAGACCACACTGACCACCTCAACTCCCATTTGTAGGAGAGAACCCAGCAAAAATTTATCACTGGGCTGATGTGAGTTTACCGCAAATTGATGTCAGTAGACTGGCTCATCAATTCCGCTGCAAAGGAAAACTATTCCTCTGTATTTGCAGAACTTTATTCCTCTGTATTTGCAGAACCTTAGCCAAGATAAGAACTGACACCAGTTGAAATAGGTAAAGAGTTGCCTTGGATGGCAAATGGAGCCCCCACATATGAATTTGGGAAGCAGTGGACAAATGGAAACTGACTTAGCAGATGCAACAAAACCAAATCCAAATCTGTAGGGGGGAAAGTCTCAAAAGACTTAGGGACCTCTGGAGGAGAGATGAAGAGACCTAAAATAAGGAAGAGTGGAGGTTTTGTCTCTGAAGAAGATAAAACAAAAGATCTTTGGACCCACTTTCATCAAACAGTGAAAGCATTGGTATTTTACCAAAAGCAGGAGACTATATGATTTTTATATAATACAGATTACAGAAATCCCTCTTTTCCACTCAGTTCTCAGAAATCTGGCAACCAGACTTCTTCCCTCCAAGTAGAATATTGAAAAGATACAATCGACTAACTTTGGATATTCTTCAATAAAGAGCTTACACAGACTAGTTTATAGTGAAGCTCAAAATTGATAAGCCCTATTCACGCATTAAGAGCTTCTAGGGGCACCTGGGTGGCTCAGTCAATTAAGTGTCTGCCTTCAGCTCTGGTCATGATCCTGGTGTCCTGTGATTAAGCCCCGCTTTGGGCTCCCTGCTCGGTAGGGACTTGCTTCTCCCTCTCCCTTTGCTACTCCCCCTGTTTGTGCTTTCTCTCGCTCTCTCTCTCCTGCTCTCTGTCAAATAAATAAATAAAATCTTTTTAAAAAAATTTTAAAAAGAGCTTCCAACCAGCTTTTCAGTCCTCCACTCTTACCCATGAGCAGCCAGCAAAAATTTCCAAATATCCTCTAACATGAAAGATAGAGCAAAACAAGAAAATGGGAAACAACAATTTGGAGAAAATAAAACCTATGCAAAAAGAAGAAAAATTTACCAAAAACTATTTTAACAGTCTCAGAGAGACAAAAGAAGATTGCATCAATGAAACAAGAATAGAATGCTATAAATAAGGAACAAAGAATTTTTTAAAGAGTACTTAGAAATTAAAAACATGATATAAAAAATAATAAATACAATAGAAGTGTTGGAAATTAAAGTTGACTTGAAACTCCCAGAAAGAAGAGCCAAAGATAGATAAAACCCAAGCGAGAAAAATATAAGAACTGGTTCAGACTAGGTCAGGAAGTTCAATATATATATCATAGGGTTCCAGAAGAGAAATCCAGAAATAAAAGATATAAATTTCCAGATTGAAAGAGCCCCCTAAGTGCCCAGGACATTGGGTATTTTTACACATCCACATCAAGACACATCATTCAGTTTAAGAACACTAGGAACAAATGGAAGATACTACAGATTTACAAAGAGAGAAACCAAACAAGGTCTTAAAGGAGGATCCGGGATCAGAATGGTTTTGGACTTGTCATCTATAATAGTGGAAGCAAGGAAACAATGGAGAAATATCTTCAAATTTTTAGAAGAATGTTATACCCAACCAAGTTATCAACCAAACATGAAGGTATAGTAGAATATTATCAGACATGCCAGATTTAAAATAAATTTTACTCCCCCCTTCCCTACTATGTGTCTTCTCTCTTTGGCTAAAGGATGCCTTCCCCCCAAACAAGGGAGTGAATCAGTAAAGAGGAAGACATAAGGTTCAGAAAATAAGGGGTTCAAATCAGGAGAGAGGTGAAAGGGATCTCCAAGGTGCAAGTGAAGGGATAACACCTTGGATGTATACGTGGCAGCAATGAGACTCAAGAACCAGGTATGGAAAGCTGTCATCACTGTGTTCTCTACCATAAGACCATCCTTCTCACCAGATGACAATACTGAAGGATGTGCTCAAACAAAACGAGGAGGAAAATCAAGAAAGAGACAAGAAGTCTAACCCAGGAAGAAAGCAGTGAGTATCCCAAGGCTGGCAGCAAAGAGGAGTCCCAGGATGGCAGCTAAGCAGCAGGCCCAGAGAGCAAGCAGCTCAGTTGAAAGAGAGGACAGCACTTCAGGAGGAAATCTCTCAAGGGGAAAAAAAGGGCGGGGAGCAGGGGATTCCAATCATATAATTTAGGTGACTGATTTTGAGAAAAATTGTACTGAGAGACTTCAAGATGTGTGGGACGAGTTAACAGTGGATACAAATAAAACTAAACAAATAAAAACAAGACAATTACTAACTTTAGGAGAAACAGGAAAAAAAGAAATATAGTATATTATGAAGCTCAACTGTGAATACTACATGTAGAGACACAAGAACATAAATTACTCAATATCCAGGAAAACAAAAATTACTATGAACCATATTAGAAGGCTAGAGGAGTGGAAGCAGAAAGGAAGGACATATAAAGATGCTAAATCGTCATCTACTGGGTGAGTAAACATCAGAAGAAAGTTACGAGAATGAAAAGTGTCCCTGGGAAGGAGGAACGCAAGGAATGGGAAGGGTTAAGATGAGGGACTCATTTACTGGCTCTAAGCTTTTTAGTGCTCTTCAATGTTTCCCTGTGTGCATGGGTAGCTTTGAAAAATTAAAATAAAATAAATTTCTAACCTGCCTACAACGGGTATTCCTAGAAATAGAATCAAGTTTATTGGCACAATGCTATGTAAGAGAATATTGCTTCTCTTAGTAAAGCAAACCAGCATTGCACTAACCCTACAGACCCCGTTCTTTGGGGTTAAAGTGTAAGTATCTCAGAGAAAGATAAATACCATATGATTTCACTCATATGTAGAATTTAAGAAACAAAATAGATGAACATAGATGCAGAGAAGGAAAAATGAAATAATATGAAAATTGAGAGGGAGGCAAGCCGTAAGAGATGCTGAACTCTAGGAAACAAACTGAGGGTTGCTGGAGGGGAGGTGGGTGGGGGGAAGGGGTAATTAACTGGTGATGGGCATTAAGGAAGGCACTTGATGTAATGAGCACTGGGTCTTATATGCAACTGATGAATCACTAAATTCGACCCCTGAAACTAATAAAAAACAAAACAAAATAAAAGTGTAAGCATCTCAAGATTATAGTAAAAGGATGGGGTTTGTGAGTCTTAGGGACAAGCTAGCTACAATTGGATGAGAATCAACTCCTTGCATTTGCCAGGAATAAGGAAAGAGGCCTCAGGAATGAGGGAAACCTGGAGATCAGAGTAAAGTCCGTAGAAGAGATCCTAGGAGAAGAATCCATCCCCATCTGAAGATCCCCTCTGTATCCTGGGTCCTGCAAGGAAACCTCCTAAAGTTCCAGTTTATTTTGTGAAGGAAGGAGGTTCTCCGTGACATCCACATTGTTTTATAACTCTGTTTTTGCTGATCTGTCTCCCCATAAAGCAGTGTACCTCCCCAAGTGGGGGGCATTTGTCAGTATCTGGATACATTTTGGGCTGTCAAGACTGGGGGACATCTGGAAGGTAGAGGCCGGGGATGCTGCTAAACATTTTACAATGCATAGAACAGCCCCCACAGCAAAGAGGCATCTAGTCCAAAATGTCCACAGTGCCAAGGCTGAGAAACCCTGCCTTAAAGACTGGAAATTCCTTGAAGTTAGGAATCATATGTTTCATCTCAGTATCCCAGTGCCAACTCAGTGAATGCCAAATGGTCGGACAAATGTATGAAAAAAATGAACAGGAGTGTTCCGACCGTAATTCAGACCATAAGCCACACAAGCCAACCCCTGTCATTCCCTAGCACCCGGTGCATATCTGACATAGAGTAGAGCCTCAGCATCCACTCACTCAACACACATTTACTGAGGGCCTTCCATCGTTCATTCAACACGTCTGTGAGATCCTACTATGTTCCAGGCCCAGCACATGTAAAAGCATGGGTGAGAACCGAGGGCTCTAATCTTAGGACAGGGCCAAAAGAGGCTGTGTTCTATTGAGGCATGAGAGTCAAAGTGTCACGTACAAAAGCATCTCACTGTAGCTGTCCACAAACAAGGTCTTCAGTGACGGCCGCCTCTGCAGGAAATATTGAATCTGCAGGCAAACAGAGAGAGTCAGATCCCAGGAAAGGCTACATGGTGAACACTTGCAATGTTTCCTAAAGGGCCTACAATGGAACAGAGGAGTGCATCAGAGCAGAGACTCTGAAGAGGGTAGAACAGTGAGGCTAACAGATAATGTTATGTAACTCGGTTGGGAGAGATTTTTAAAAATAGAGAGTGGAATTACAACTATAGCTAGAAATAAAGACAGGAATGAAAATCATCAAAATATTATTAATGGCTGTGTTTGAATGATGAGATGGAGAGTGCATTTTTTCCTAGTTTTTTTTTTAAGAACTGTGCATTAGAGTAAAAATTTAATCAGCCTCCACTGAACTAAATCCCTAGACTAGGCAGGGCTCTCCACTCCCTGAAATCATTCTGACTGATGCCCACATTCAGGGCTGGCGGCTAGGAGATCCTCTCTCGGATACATACACACTCCACTCCCTCCCACTGGTTACTCCTGCTTGCCAAGAGCGCTTTTCGCCCACTGCACTTGCTACTGTGGCTTTGTATTTTATTATAATGTAAAATACGAGTGCAAAATAAAGATAGTTGCTTCTGTGAAGACAGAGTCCGATGATTTGGAAAGGCTCCTTAATGGTGAGTCACTAAGAAAAATCGGATGTAGCTTAGATCAAAAAGATTAAGGGGAAAAAAAAATCACAATAATCTCCAATTATTTGTAACAATGTAACCTGTAACAGTGGTCCCAATTTCAAAGAAAAGACTGTTCGTATGTTAGAAAAATTGCCAAGGAATATGCATGTATTTTCAGGTAAAATAAAATGATACCAGTTTATGTGTAAATTTCTTTCATTATTTTGAACTTTAACAGACTGTTTGGATTAATTGAACAACTACCAGTCATGATCCTGTCACTTAAGACGCTTCCATTCTACTTCTGTAACTAAATATTACAGTTGATCCTTGAACAGCATGGTTTTGAACTGTGAGGGACCACTTACATGCAGTTTTTGTTGTTGTTGTTGTTTTTGGTAAATACAGTATGGTACTGTAAATGTATTTTCTCCTCCTTATGATTTTCTTCATAACATTTTCTTTTCTCCAGCATACTTTATTGTAAGAATATAGTACACAATACATATATCATTATTAGTAGTTACATTTGGGGGAAGTCAAAAGTTATATGCAGATTTTTGATTGTGGAGGCATTTGGCGCACCTAACCCCTGCAGTGTTCAAGGGTCAGTTGTACATTCAGTGAGGGGTCCTGATTGTCTTCGAACGTGACTACCCTGGGCCTGCAGGAACCCACTGGGCAGACCCTCAACCCCTAGTCGTGACTGCTTGGAGGGCTCTCATCTTCACCTGTGTATCTCTCCCATGAATTAAAGAGTGAGTGAGCAATGAGTGAGTCTCTTGGCTTTTTGTTTTGGTAATAATGGAAACTCATGGTGTGGGAAGGAATGCTTACCCCGCGGAAAAAAAAGTAGACTCCCCCTGATACAGAAAGAATCTCGCCAGTGACTCGGAAATAGTCCCCAACGGTGTGTTTCAGCTTATAGGGAGGCTGCAAGGTGCAGAGAAGTTAGTGACACCATTCACTCATTTATTCACTCAACAAACATTTACCAAGCCCTGTGATTAAGAGTCAGCCCCTGCCCAAGAGGCTCACCCTCTATCAAGAGAAAGGCATAGGGGTGCCTGAGTGGCTCAGTTGTTAAGCGTCTGCCTTTGGCTCAGGTCATGGTCCCAGGGTCCTGGGATCGAGCCTTGCATCGTGCTCCCTGCTCCATGGGAGGCCTGTTTCTCCCTCTCCCACTCCCCCTGCTTGTGTTCCCTCTCTCGCTATATCTCTCTCTGTCAAATAAATAAATAAAATCTAAAAAAAGAGAGAGGCATAACTAAAGACCATGCATTATTGGGGACATTGCAAGGAGGCCCCTCTGTGGGACCTGATTCCCAAAGTGGCAGCCCCTAGGTGCCAGGCAGAGTATCCTCACCGTGCTGTGCTACCTCCCAGACAGTGTCCCAGCCCAGAGCTCTGCTGAGACGAAGCTGATGGCATAGCCGGAGACACTCCTATAGACTCAATGCCATGTGCATCCTGCTGCTCCCACAGCCATGGTGGGCCCCTGTCAAGGCTTCCCGCGGATGGCAGAAGATGGGACGTCCCCCACACGTGTGTCATCCTTGTGTCTCAGACACTTTCCTGAGGTGGGTTTCCTTTCTGCCGGCCATCGGTGGTTTGTAAACACTGCTTCACTAGCTTGTCTTATTAGCATGTTTCTCTTTTCTCATAAAATGAAATTATTAAATGGCCCTACTAGGTGGATAGAAGCCAGGTTTTACCTAACTTGGAAGTGGAGTTTTAAATCAAATTTATAGGCAGGCACCCTGGAAATAAAGGCAACAAAGTAAGTGCTTCAATATCAAATAGAAAGGATCCAATTCAGTAACTCAAAGGAGTCCATAGCTCCTGGCAGAGCAAGAAGTCCGGTCTTAAGCTGATGTGAAGGATGGCCCAGGGCCTGGCACAGAAGATGTGCTCAAGGGGCGCCTGGCTGGCTCAGTCGGTTAAATGTCTGCCTTCAGCTCAGGTCATGATCCCAGGGTCCTGGGATCGAACCCCATGTCGGGCTCCCTGCTCAGTGGGGAGCCTGCTTCTCCCTCTGCTGCTCCCCCTGCTTGTGCTCTCTCTCTCTCTCTCAAATAAATAAAAAAAATCTTTGAAGAAAAAAAGAAGAAGATGTGCTCAAAAGTAGACAACCAGGGAATGAAAAATGAGCGAGTGAGTGAACAAAAGTGGGCAGGTTAGCAGCATGGCAATGGGCCCAGGGCTCACGCCAGCCCATGACCCTGCAGACAGCCAACCCAAGGAAGAGCTGCTTCTGGAGCCCTAATTCCTCCATCTCTTCTAACCTGTTATCCCTCCTCTGCCATCAGGGACCTCATAGACCGCACACTCGGCCTCACAGAACCAGGAGGCTAAAGGAGGGAGTGAGAAGGCAGGGGGAGGGGTATTACCAGGACAGCCTGAGAGGGGGAAGGCTGAGCATGGGTACATAAGGAGCTCCAGGTGATCTTTTCATCTCTCCAGCAAGCTGGGAAGGAGTCCAGGGCCTGGCCTGGGTCTGGGTCTTGGGGGTCTTATAAGAATGCCCATTGCTCTCCCCACTCCCCTGTCCGGAGGCTGAGGCTCAGTCCTCACCAAGCCATCCACAGGCCTGTAGTAGGCTGCCGTGGTGAAGATGATCATATACAAGCAGTAGACAAAGAAGTTGAAGTAGAAGATGCGCTTGACAAATCTGTCCCATTTGTCCTGCAGGAGTCGGTTCAGAGGTTCCACCAAAAGCATGTCGTGGCGATTCTAAGGGGAGCAGAGAGAGATGAGGCTCACTCCCCAGCCAGAAACCACAAAATCTCATATCTAAGAGTCTCTGTTAAAGTTCCAGTGTCCCTAAGATGGATGAGCCAAAATCAGGTCATCCTAACATTTGCAGGCCATCAAGCCCAACCCCCAGCCCAAGCTTAAGCTCCCCCAGTGAGGTCTCTGTTCAGTGACTTCTTCAATACCTTTGGGGATAGGAATTGCCTTGCTGCCTCGCACAGCCTGGGGAGAAATGCTGTCAGGAAGATCCAACCTCTGCAGTAAAGTTGGTCTTCTCTGCTTTCCACCAGTTGTCCCAGTTCTGTACTCAGGGACCCCAGTACTGACTTTCTGCCCAAGAGAGCCTTCAGAGACATGAAAATGGCAGCCATGGCCCCACAGCCCTCTCCTCTCTAGGTCAAACACCCCAGCCTTTTTGGAGCCATTTCCTACATGGGCCAGCCCTCTGGGATTCCAAGTCCAAAGCCCTGCTTCAGCGAGGCGGCCCAGATGGAGGCTGACAGGGCAGAGCAAAGCAGGCTAGACCTCTCTCTCCCCTGAACTTTGCCCCTGTAAACACAGCCTTTGTCCTGTGAGATCCTGTGGCAGCCCCTCCTCACTGACAGCACAGACCCACCCCTGGGTCTGCCTCAGGGGCAGGTATTGCCTTAGAAAGAATGGACAGGGAAGGTGGCCTTTCAAAGCAGAGGTGGTAGGACAGACTTTTCATTAAGTGGCCCTGGGACCCTCATTTGGAAACAAAATAATTAAGTAAGATGGCTACCTCACACCTACACAAAAATAAATTCTAGATAAATTGAGGAGCCAAACATAAAATATCTACAAAGGAGCTAAACAAAAGTATTGAAGGATATGTGTATAATCTTGAAATGGAAAAGGCCTTGCAAAGCAAGATACAAGTCACAGAAGCTATAAAGGAAAAAGACTAATTAATTTGACTCTCAAAATGAAAACCTTTTATAAGCAAATGATGCCTTACATGAAGTTAGGAGGCAAGAGACAGACTGGAAGAAAATAAAATATTTGGAACTTATGCAGTAGAGAAAGGATCAATTCATTCTATAACAAGAGCACCTACAAACCAAAAGGAATGGGGCCAACAGTCCAGCAGAAGAGATGGCCGAGGACAATGAATAAGAAATCTACCAAAGAAATATGAATGGTCAGATAACTATACGAAAAATTATCCACCTCACATTAGTCAAGAAAATGAGAGTGAAGACATCAATAAGATAATATTTTTGGCCCCAAGAACTTAAATTAGTTTTTGAGAAAAGATTGATGATACCCAGGTTGACAAGGACATGGTGGTGGGCAAATGAATAGATGCAGTCTTTTTGGAGGACAACTTGGCAGTAGCTATTAAAACATTAAAACATACATACTTCTTTGATTTAGCAATTCCAATTCCAGGCATCCTAGAAAAATTCCCAAACCCATGCCAAGTGGCCTGCAGCATTGTGGTAGCAAAAAACTGGAAATAACCTAAATGTCCTCCAATGGACATTTACTCCCCATCCCTACTATGGAACACCATGCAGACGGAGTTTTTGAATGGAGCAGGCCCATATGTACTGATATAAAATGATCTACAGACACACCATTAAGTGAAAAAACTGCTTGTTCTACATTTTGTATAGTATGATCCCGTTTATATAAACAAAATGAAGCCACATGTTTTTATATGGTATAAAAAGAGGGTTCTTTTCGTCTATCTGAAATATTTATGTTTTTATGGGAAAACTACCCTACATTATTTGTATGATGAAGGAAAACATTCAGTGGGAATAAACGGGGAGATGAGGCATCAGGGCCTAGGCCCCAGGCAGGAGGTTTTCACTGATGAAAGGACAGGCAAAGCTGGATGGGGGCTGGGGCCGGGGGGCCGGGGGGGGGGGGCCTGGGGCACAAAGAGGCCAGAAGCCCGCCCTGCCCAGGCCCCACCCAGGTCCACTCACAGGGGTCTCACTGCTGCTGTAGGCAATCACCTCCAGCACCGAGTTCTTCTCACAAGTGTCAATGCAGGACAGGTCGTAGAGCGAGGAGTGCACGGGCCCGTATGCCCATTCGGTGAACTTCCTGGACAGATGCCTGCACTCAGGCTCCTGGATCTCCCTCTGGAGAATATAGGCCAAGACCTACCACAGGGATACAAGAGCCTGTGAGAGACCAGCCTGGAGCCCCGCCACAGGGGCATCCCCACCCGGCCACCGGCTCTGCCTCAACAGTAAGTCTGCTTCCTAGCCCAGCTGGAGACCCAACCCAGCCCCAGGAGAGCCCTCACTTCTATGCAGCAACCTCCTGACCAACCTGCCCACTTACTCAGACCCCAACTGTAGCCACAGCAGACCCATCGTTGCCTGATCGCACTTGGCTGATCACACCTGGTCACATCCATTTCACCCTTGGCTCAACCCACCCCCATGCCCAGGCACCAGCACCTCACTCCCACTCCGTGTCTGGCTGGTGCTGTCAGAGGTGGAAACCAGAGAGAGACAGGGGTGATGCCTGGCTTCTGCTCAGCATCTCACAATCCCTCTGGCTTACTCTAATAGCCCCCTACCCCCCACCCCTATAGGCTAGTATCACAGCAGCAGGGCTCTGCAGGGGGGTGATGCCAGGTGTGCAGCAAGGCAGGCAGTCCCCTCCCACAGCACCCTTGAAAGCCACACCCCCAGCTCAGGCATGAAGCCTCCCCCCTACCCCAATTTTCCCACTCCGGGCGGCCAGAGCCAGTGGGGTCAGCCCCTTCTTGTTGGTGAGCTCCTCCAGCTTCAGTGTAGGGTGGAGCTTGGCCCCTAGGATCAGAATCTCGTTGTACATGCTCGTCACAAATTTGGTGTTGTCCACTGTGTTGTCGGCCACTTCCACCAGTGCGTGCAGCACCGTGTTGCCCACGGAGTCCCTGGCGCTGATGTCTGCTGGCTGCCAAGAGTTCTGCAGCAGGAACTTCACAATGCCCAGCTGGTTGGTGCATGCAGCCAAGGAGAGGGGAAGCTCACCTGTGGCCAACACAGGCATATGATGGGCCCCAGGAATAGACTAGCTTGGTCCCTGGACCACCCAGCCTCCAAATCCCTCTGTCTCCACCCCAAACCTCCCCTTAGCAATTGTCAAAAAGCCAAGTGTCTGCCTCTTGGTCTCCCTACCAAAGTAGAATCCAGGCCGCCCCTTGGTTTTCTTAAAGAAGTCCCCGTTGGCTGCAGCCTGGACGTCTGCCCCGTTCTCCACCAGGAGGGTGACTAGTGCCATGTTCCGCCTCTCAATGGCAATGTGCAGGGCCGTCTGGCCTGTGGAGATGTGTGCCGTTGGCTTTGTACTCACAGTCCTGTGCTTGGACAGGTGCAAGGGGGAAGACTTCGGCAGAAAGTGCCAGATGACTCCCCCACAAAAGAGGAGAGCAGGCTGGAATGCCCAAAGGGGGCCCAGGGAGTCCCTGAGGCAGGAGTAGAGACCCCCAGGGGAACACCAGACCGGGGACTGGAGTAGTCAGAACTGCACAACGTCAAGGAACAGTAGCAGAGAGAGTAGCCATGGCTTCCAGAGGCAAAGAACACCCAGTCCGCAGAGGGGAGGATGGGACCGTCAGCACCGGGAAAAACCAAGTCCAACAGGTGGGGGGCGGGGGGCAAGGACCCACTGGGAGCAGGACATGCCATCAGTGGCCGGTGCAAGGAGCAAGGAGCTGAGAGGCTTGCCCAGGCACAACAACGCCTCCGGGCTCCGGGTGTGCTTGTGGACAGAGCCACGCCAGACCCCACCCCCTCCTCACCCTTGTAGTAACTGTCTGTGTAGCTGGCGTTGACTAACTCCTTCAGGCTGTCCGTCTGCTGGGCAATCTCCAGGAGCAGGGGGATGGTGTCATTCTGCCCATCGTGCAGGTTGAGCATGGCTTTCAGCAGACAGGTCTTCCCTGTCTCTGGGTCTGCAAGACAAAGTGAGGGTCAGAGCAGGGCACAGCAGCCGCAGCCCCTCCCAGGAATCTGGCTGTCCAGGGCCACCTTTGAACTCGCTGTCCATGAGGTGCTTCTTGCTCCTCTGCAGGAAGAGCAGCAGGCTCTGCAGCTCCTCACAGTTATTCTGAGCGACCGCTTCAAAGATCTTCCTGCGATCATAGAGCTTGAGGCTCTTCTCAGGTGCAGCAGTGACAGAATCCTGGGATGGCTGCCTGTGGGCCAGACAACACCTTCATCGGACTATTGTGATTTGCCCTCAGCACTTGTCAGGGAGCATGGCGAAAGCCCAGGGCAAACCAAAACAGGGGAAAACGTGGTATAAAACCCATCCCTTAGTTAGGGGACTGTCCGGGAAACTGATGTAACAAGGAACTCTGGGGTGCATGTGCCCTCATTCCATCCCCACCCCATCTGTAGGCACCATGTAGAAAGTCTTCCCTGTCCCCGCTTCCTCCAATGCCCCGGCCCCTCACTTCCCTGCTTGTTCAGGAGCTGGGGGTCTGGAGGCAGTGGCCTGGAGGGGGCTGGAGGCAGGGGTTTCAAGGGTTTGGATGGCCACTGCCAAGTGAAAAATTGTCCCCGCACTGGCCCAGAGGCTAGCTAGTAGTTAGCAGGTCACCCTCCCTGACCTGCCTTGGCGGAGGCAAGAGAGCTGGTGGGCTCCTCACTAGAACTGTTCTGCACTCTTTGACTAAAAGCATCCTGGCTTTGAGCTTTTCAACTGAAAGTCTAAATGTTTGGGGCTGCTGAGCATTCGAGGCCCGGACACCTAGAGATCAGCCGGCAGCTAATATCAGCATACATGCCAGCATCCATGACCATGTGTCCCAAAGCTCCTATGAGTGCAGATGCTGGACCACCAGATTTCTGAAGGCTCCCCGGCTCCCTGGCTCTATGACCTGCAGCCCAGAAACTCGAGCACCACGTGATCTCCGTTGCTGGGGCCTCTGCCAGGTAAGCCCATTCGGCTCCTGGTGAGGATAGGACCCAGGCTCCAGATACAGCTTACCTGGCACAGGTGGGGCCATCCTCATGCTTCTGGATGATGACAACAGGGCTGACTGTGATGGCTGGGCAGGAGGCTGGCTGGCCTTCTTCATAAGAGCAATCCATAGGAGAAGCCTCCTCTGAGTCGCACTTCCCGAAAAGCCGGCTACGGCTCTTAGCCGTGGTGAAGAATTGGGGCTTGGCTGGAGCTGGCCTGGAATTAGGGTCTCCATCCAGGGGGTCTGGGCAGGAGTCCTCTTGGGGTGGGTCCTCAGACTCCCCTGAATCTGAGCTCCTCCATTTCTTCATCCTTGCCAGATCCTTTGTGGACTAAGAGGCAGCCTGCGGGCAGCCACCAAAATCAGGTTTGTTCCCAGCTCGAGGACTACATGATTCGAGCTCCCATCTGCCCTCCTTGCAAAGGCCTCTGTGAAGCAGTGCACCCCAGAGGTCCAATAGCTGTTGGCACTGGCCCCCCAGAACTGAAGCTTCCAGAGGTGCTGTACCTTCTAGCTCAGAGGCCCCAGGGGAGAGAGCAGGCCTAGCGGCCCCATGGACACTGAGCTCAGGGGTGAATGTGTCCCCCAGCTTGGAGCCATCAGGCTCTGAAGGACTTGAATGTATTGCTCTCCCCTCTGGACCTCAGGTGCCTCAAATGCAAGGTAAGATGATAACCACTGCTCTGCCTCCCTCCAAGATCAAAGGAAGGGAAACAATGGAAGTGGCCTTCACTGACTGCACCTTCAGCGGGGAGCTCGGTGATGAGGATGGCTCAACCCCAAAGAGCAGGGCAGGCTGTGTCTTCACGAACAAGGCAAGTGGTGTGTCCCTGTCACTAGCCATGTGCTCGCTTTCCTCTGCTCTTCAACCCAGGGGCTGCAACTGCTGAGTTGGTAGGAGATTTTTTTGCACTTTTAGTCATTTTTGTGAAATTAGTATATTTCAAGCATCCCTGAACTTTTAAACTTTAAGTGATTCAGGGCTGGTCCAGGCATTCCAGCACATATGGCCGTGAACTCGTTTTGAAACTGTTTTCCACTCGCTTCCTAACCTCCTCTCCCACACTCTTTGCTCCATCCAGTGGGGCATCCCCGCTCTCTGGTGCCCAGGGCTGTCCCGCGTCTCAGGGGCCTTTGCTCCTGCAGTGCCTCCACTAGGGGTGCTTTTTTTCTTTCTCCTCCTCTTGCCCAAATCCTACCACTTTTCAGATGCCACCTCCCCTTGGCGTCCTCCACACCCCCAAGCTCTGCACTGGCCATGCTCATAAGCCCCTCCAGAGTGGCCCAGTTGGTTGTCCATCATCCTTCAGGGCCTTCTTAGCAACGTCCATTATGCACTCTAGCAATTTCTATCTGGCACTGCCTTATCTCCCTCACATCCTGTGACCTCCTCCTGAACAGGGAGCTTGCCTGATCCCTCTCCTTATGAAAAAATCTGTGCTGGTCACTGTGGGGGACATGAAGGAGATCAGATGCAGACCTTTTTTGTTCCCATTTGCATAGGAAGTGAGAGTCATGTCCCAGCAGTGGCTGGATTCCAAAAAATAGCCACTGAAGGAATGGGAGGTACCCCAAGGCCTGCATTTTCAAGTGCAAGTTCAGGCAGTTATCACTCAGAGCACATGGTTGGGCCTTGGCAATAAATCAGCTACGATCTGATGCCCAGATCCTTGGGGGAAGAAAATGAGGCAGCCTCACCCTCTGCATCCTGTGCATGAGACAGCCCCGTTTTCCCTCCTGTCTGTTGTTCCTCTTTCAGGAGGGCCTGAGGCTTTCTCTGGGTCATCCATTGGATGGAAACCCTGCAGCAGCAAGTGTGCCCGGCCACAGGGAATCCCACTTCTGACCACTCACCCATTTATTCATTCCATCACTCAACATCCATCTACAGAATCCTACTGGGAATCCAGGCCTGTGCTGGGGGCACAGAGAGCACTCAGGCCCCATCTGAGACAGAAACCAGGTGCTGGTTGGGGCAGGGCTCTTGTAGGAGGGGCCAGGGTACTGAAGAAGGCTTCACGGAGGAAGTGACAGAGGATCTGGGCCTGGAAAGAGAGCAGGGTTGGCCTGGGACTGGGGGAGATGATGGGGATCGAAGACTAGCTGATGAAGAGGAAGCCAGGGGGACTGGAAGACAGGCAGCAGGGTCAGAACCAGATGGCTACTGTCCTTGAATGTCAAGGAACAGAATGTGGATACAATTGTGTGGATGGTAGAAAGCCACGAGAAGCTTCAGAAGCGTGAAGACCATACTCATCTATGCTTTCAAAAGGTAACTTCCTGTCCAGCACTGTTCATACTATGGGGAGCCTGTCACCTTCAAAAGGCACAGGAGGCTAGTAAGAATGAAAATAATTGACATGCTTGAGCATGTCCTGTGCAAAAGTGGGTACCATTCTAACACGTCACATGCACTCACTTCACTTTCCCATCTCTAAGAAGTAAGTATTTGACAGGTGAGGAGACTCAGAGTAAGTATTTGACAGCGGTTACATGAGGCCACACAGGCAGAGGAGGAAGCTGGATCTGGTACTCGGCAGCCCGGCTCCAGAGCATCTCTAGCACCCCACCACCTCTCTGAAGGCTCAGGGCTCTTCTCAGCCATTAAACTCAGCCCCAGATCTCACCCCAGGGTGGGGGGCTGATCAGACCAGGGTTCCCCAGCCCTGGGGCCAGGCAGGCAGGCACAATGACCTTCCCATCAGAAGCCCTAACCTGTAGTACCTTCCTGCTCAAACAAGCATCCCAGGAAGCTCAAAGCCCAAAATGAAGTCTGAGTAAGATCCAGGCCACATGCCAGGCCTGACTCTCCCAGGGCTATTCCCTTGGATAGGATTGGCCACAAAACCAAGAATAAACCTGCTGCCTGACTCACAGCTCTTATCCCAACAAGAGCACCCATTAGCAGGAGCCTCCACAAAATTGTTCTGAGATGTTCCTTTTTGCCTCTTCCTCTGACTGGTCCAAATCTAACCAAACCCAAGAAACATGAAGCAGCCCACACAGTAACATCATTCAGTAGGTCAAGAAACCCCAAATCGGCAATGCATGCCTCGCACCTGATTCCCTACTGGAAGCCAGGCTTCAGGAGCAGAGCGAAGGACAGGGACTGAGAGGCCATTTGCTTTGGGTTGTGGCGTAAGACAGGGACGAGATGGCCTGCCACTGCCAGGCCTGGGTGTGTCTAGCACGTGAGTCCCGTGGCGATGTACCCGTCACAGTTGAATGTTCTGCAATGATGGGGGAATTTCCAGCCATGACTTGGGGTGTCTAATGGAGATGGTGGTTCTGGTTTATGCAAGATTCACAAATACCAGTCTGGACTAAAGGACAGTCCTGAAAGACTGACCTGGCTCAGCAAAGACTTGGTTTGGCCTCTGGGTCTTCCTCAATTCCAGAGCCAGGGAGGACACTGCCAACCCCTGGGAGAAACCTTCCTCTTCTCCTCAGTCCAGATGAGACATCCTGGGGTGTGGCTCTCCTACTCCCTCTCTGCTCAAAGTATCTGTCTGCCTCTGACCTCCCTGCAGGCTCTTGGGAGCTGGTCCAGGACCCAGCCCACATCAGTCTTGCCCTCTTGGCCTATCTGAGCATTTGGCTAGAGAGGATTGGAGATCTGGGGGGCTACCCAACCTATGGATGAAGAGCCAGAGGAACTCTAGGCAAAACAGAGAGTGACTGGAGCCTGGACAAGAACCCAGGACTCCTGCCTCCCAGCCCAGCGCCCCTTTAGTACAGAGAGGGCAATGTGGCGAAACCTCCAGCCACAAATCACTGGCCTCAGCAAGACCCATGGCCTCTTTGCTCCAGGATGAGGGTCCAGGATGACTCTGGTGCAAATAATACACATCGACAATAGCAACCTCCACTCTCGCTTGCCAAGCGTTCATGATTAGCCGCGCTAAGTGCACGATAGTTACAGCTTCACTTCAGCGTCACCACGACTTTGAGGCAGTCACTGTGATTACCCCATGTCCAGATGGGGCAGCTGAGGTGCTAAGAGGCTGGTTGAACTGCTCATAGTCACATAGCTGGACAGAGGCAAGGCCCAGCTTCCGACAGCTCACTATGCCATTCTAAAAGCTAACATCGACACTGGCCATCAAACAACAAAAAGGACTCACCAGCTAGATGCAGGCACACCCCAGACACGGTGGGTACTGGAGCTCCGAGGCCGTTGTTCCTTGAAGGGAGAGCTGGAATGGTGTGGGGAGAAGAGTTGCCTCCCCTGCCTCGGTGAGGGGCCTTGGCCCCTCCCCAGGTCGTGGTGGCTCGGCGCTGCAGGGACAAGCTGTGGGTCCGCTCTGGCACTCAAGGAAAACGTTTCCAGCAATGGCCGCAGCTGTGGTTGCCGTGGCTCCAATTCCCAGAGGACCCCAGAGCTTTTCCCATCGTTTCTGCCCTTTTTCAGAAACCACTTAGCTGCTGCCCTGCCTCCAACCGTGCCAGGGTCTGCAGTGCACTTAGCCACACACAGCCTAGAACCAGCCAGAGCTTCCTCACAAGGAAGAGGAGGGCACTGCTCAGGCCTCCCAAACCCACCACCCTCACAAACTCCACAAATTCACTGTCACGACCAGAAAAGTCAAACCCAGCACCATGTAGAAGGGATGGAAATGGTCACGTCACCCATCATACAGTCCTGGCTTGGCATCTAAGGACTGGTTTTGAATGCTGGCTTTGCCACCAGCTCTGTGCGACCTTGGGTGAGTCCCTGCCTCCCTTGGGCCTCTCATTCCCTGTGGCACCATGGTGTAGGCATTGAGGTGGGAGGTTTCTGGGTCTACTAGGTCCCAGCCTTGCTCAACTGGGATTCCTCGTGGAACCACAGAACTCAGAAAATTATTTTCTGTGTCTATTTCCTTGTTTCTCTTAGTGCCATCCTAAATGCACAGGAGAAAAGTTAATACAGTAAGGCTTAATTCCCTCCCAGAATATGGCTGAGAAAAGCTGCAAAGTCTTTCTGAATATGCCTGCAGTTGGCAGCCCAAAATGTCCTGCAGAACCCATCCTGGAAGCTGCCCATAGGAACCCTAGAGGACCCCACAAGCCACAGGCCCCACACAGCCTGAAATGAGCAGCCACGTACCAGAAAGGCCCATCATAGCCCTACTTGGAGTAGCTCACAAGGTTGACCCCTGAGTCAAGACAGTAGAGTGCAGACACTGCACGGATTTTGCACAACGTTTTACAGTTTACAGAGAGGCTGTGCAAGCTCACTCTCCCAGGCAACACAACACCCTGAGCGGTGGCAGGGCAGAAATTGCCGTGGTCATTTTACACGTGGGAAATCAGCGCAGCTGATTGCCC